TTTACTTTTACTACATATGCTTGTATCCCTTAACACACACAACTTAGTTCTGCATGCTTTTTTATATAAATAAAATTGTACTTTATGTATGTGCTCTTTTATAACTTGCTTTTAAAACAAATGTATTGCTCAATTATATCATATATACAAAAATGCACATTTATCATAAGCGTTCAGCGTGGTGAATTTTCTGAGTGAACACACCCCTGGATCAAGATGCAGAACATCGTTAGCACTCTGGCAGCCCTCCAAGGCCCCTCCCAGGTACTGTGTCCCGCCAAAGGGAGCCAACAGTCTGACTTCGAACATCATAAAATGTCATAAAAATTATATGAATGGAATCAGTGTCCAATTTTATACACTCAGCGTTATGTTAATCCATGTTGCTGCATGTAGCTATAATCATTTGTTAATGCTGATAGTGTTCTATTACATGCCTATATTACACTTTACATAGTTATTTGTCTATTGATGGATTTTTGGTTCTTTCCAATGTTTGCTATTACAAACAGGAATGTTATAAACATTCCCAAATGTGTCTTCTTAAGCCCAAATGCAAATGTTTCTTTAGGAGAAATTAGGAAAGGAATTTCAGTGTCACAGAATATAGTTAGCATTAGCTTTATTAGGTGACTCCAGTGTGAAATCAGCACTCACCACTAAAAATGAAGATCTTTGTCAATCTAATACGTAAAAAAATTTAAGCCTCATTGTTTAAATTTGCATTTCTTTCCTTATATTTATTTCATTATTATATTCTAAAAAGCTTTTCATTAGCCATTCCTAGTTTTTCTCTTATGGGTTTTCTGTATCCTCAACCCATTTTTCTATTGGGTTGCTGGTAGTTTTCTTAAGGGCTCTTAAAAACCTTTATATATTAAGGAAAGTACTTGTTACAAATGCATCTATTCAATTTACAAATGGAGATATAATTGACATAGAACATTACTTTTGGGTATATAACACAATTAGATATTTGTGTATGTTGCTAAATGATCAGCACAAAGTCAACACCCATCACTGCACGTAGTTACAAACACTTTTTTTCTTGCAACGAGAATTTTTAAGATATACTCTGTTTGCAACATTCAAATATACAATACAGTACTGTTAACTATAGTCAGTATACTATACATCAAATTACCAGGGCTTATTTCTTCTATTGGGTTGGCCAGAAAGCTTGTGTTTTTTTCCCCATAAGATGGCTCTAGTAGCACTTACTTGTCTTTCACTTCATTCAAAACAATTTTGTTCGATGGAATTACAACAGCTGTCACATCAGTATGCATTTTTTAAAAACCGCCAAAATTGGTGGATTTTTGTGTAGCCAGTTTAATTTTGAAGATGGAAGAAAATATGCAACACTTTCAACATCATATGCTTTATTATTTCAAGAAAGGTAAAAATGCAACTGAAATGCAAGCAAAGATTTGTGCAGTGTATGGCAAAGATGCTGTGAGTGATCGAATGTGTGAAAAGTAGTTTGTGAAGTTTTGTGCTGGAGATTTCTTTCTGGATGCTACACAGTCAGGTAGACCAGCTGAAGTACATAGCGATCAAATTGAGACATTAACTGAGAACAATCAACATTATACCACATGGGAGGTAGGTGTCATACTCAAAATAGCCAAATCATTCAAGTTATTGGCGAAAATAAAAAAATGTGTCTTTTATTTATTTATTTTTTGTCTTTTATTTTATAGAAAAACCTAACTGGACTTTTTGGTCAACCCAATATAACCAGAAGTTTGTACCTTTTGACCCTCTTCACCAGTTTCACCCACTTCTGGCAACCCCTGATCTATGCTCTGTATCAACTGTTTTCCTTATATTTCCACACATATTCAAGTGAGTGAGATCATACAGTGTTTGCCTTGCTCTGACTTATTTCCATGAACATAATTCTTAGCCTGATGTTCTTTTCATTGGGTAGTTCTGACAGTTTGGTTTGTGGAGCTTTTTGTCATTCGAAAGTTTAAAATGTTTGTGCGATCAGAGCCACGGATCTTTTTCTTTGCGAATCCTGCCCTTTCTGCTGTCAGGGCCGGGCTCGAACATATTTTTTTCCACTCCAGGATGACCTGTTCAGTAAGGTGGCTTTATATTTCATAGATACATTGCATCCGGTGGCTTTCCAAAGTTACTGAGCAGAGGTAGTAATGGCCAGGTCATGGTGGGACTCAGATGCTCTTTCTGCTCTGCAGATTTGAGAATTGAAGGTGGTGATGAAGTTTCTATTATCTGGAGACCTATCTTCGTCATACAGAGAATAAAAAGTGAACTGAGCCGTGCTAAGGCCAATTCTTTGCTTCTTACACAAGGGGGTAGAAGTAATGGTGTCTTCACCCCAGAACCCAGCAAACAGGCTGGAGTCGTTCCAGCAGGGGAATTTCACCAAAGGGAGAATACCTGGGGGACAAGACTGGCCTGCCAACAAGGAAGGAACGAGCCCTGCAACAGTGGCCTGGCATGGGCTCCCCTCCCACAGGGGCTGTTGATTGCTTAGGCTTTTACAATTCTCGAGCCCTGTTCCAAGGAGCTTTTGTGGTTTAAATCAATGTGCTTCTGCGAATAAGTGCCCTTATTATTCCTAGTTCACATTGTTTGCTGTGCTCTTATACCACTGTGACACAATGCCCTTTGTGCAACTGTACAATAGCAGTCCTTTCAGGAATCTCTAACATCTTTCTAATTAGGATCCGCAACCACATGACAGATGTAGAAAACCACAGCCTAGAGACAAATGACAAAGCTTCACCTTGGTCACAAAGGAGCCAAGCCCAGGTCTGACTCCTCCCAAGAGGTTGCAGGGTCTGGCTGCACCACTGCCTGGGAGCAGCCCCCTGCCGTGGTGTCTGCCGTGTTGTTAGGCTGCCCCAGCACATGGCAGGGAGTGCTGGGCCCCTGGCAGTACTGCTTAGAGTTATCTAAGCAGCTGAGCTATCAGGTTGAGGACTGAAAACCAGAAATTCCCAGCATTGGTCCTGGCTGGTGTGGCTCAGTGGATTGAGTGCTGGACTGTGAAGCAAAGGGTCATCGCTGGTTCAATTCCCAGTCAGGGCACATGCCTGCATTACAGGCCAAGTCCCCGGTAGGGGGGCGCATGAGAGGCAATCACACATTGATGTTTCTCTCCCTCTTTTCTCCCTCCCTCCCTCTCCCTCTAAAAATAAATAAATAAAATCTTAAAGAGAAGAAAGAAAGAAAGAAATGTCCAGCATAAATTGAGCAATAGCTCTTGAGTTTATAACCAGTGCCCAGTGACTAAGCTTCTAGGATGGTGTAAGGCTAGGTCACTTGAAACGGAATTCTGCATTAAGTAATTAAACTTGATTGACTGCCTACTGTGCACAAAGATGAAATCCCAATGCCCCCTGTGGCTGTTCACATCCTAGATGAAAGAGGAGACACATATGGAAGCAAGGAGTTTTAAGAAGCTGAGTGCTTTCATAGAGAAGGTTAAAGTAACATCCAGTTCTAGGGGCTTTCAGGAAATCTTCTTGGTGGGGAGGACTTTAACCTGGGCAGATCTTTACAGATGGACTAAACCTCCCATGCAGAGCTACTGGGAGGAGAGCATTGCATGCCGAAGGTTAAGTACGTACAAAGGTCTGGAGGTGTGAAATGCTCTGGATTCAGGGAAAAATGAAAATGCCAACATGTCTAAAGTGGCCATGGTTATCCCACTGTTCTTTCTCTGTTCTATTTTTAGAGCCAAAACTCTGTCCCTTTTTATCCTAAGTATCTAGGATATTGAAAAGATTAGGTTTTTTTGTTTGTTTGTTGTATTGTCTTTGTCCTATTGCTTTAACCCTCCACTTCTCAGGGTGCTGTGGATACCTCTAATTAGGGAAAAGACCATGTATTGGGAAATGCCCCAGAGAAGGGCACAGAGCTGAATATCTCACTGCATGATAAGGATGCAGAGGCAGCTCAGGGAACTTAGCTGGGCTGTTTTCTTACACTGTCCACAGAGCAGTAAACAGGGTCCTTGCTGGCTCCCAAGCTTACCTGCCACAGGTCCTGCCGCCCAGAGGGAGGCCCTGATGTCTGAAACTTGTGGAGTAGAAGCTGTTGCTGAAAGCAGGTGGGGGATGGGGATGTGAGGGGAAACGTGAGCTGCCCAGCAGTCTAACAGATGACCCCCCCAAGGAGCGAAAGCACCCGATGTGATCCGAATGAGTCTGGGTTGCAGCTGGCTCTGGAGTCGGGCTGGACTGGAGTGGCCACCTCTGGCTTCCTCTCCTTGCCTTTCTTTTCCTTGGTATCTTTCACTGCCCACCTTACTTCCCACAGGGTGTTCGGGTACCACTTTACAAACCTCCTCAGTCGGTGAGCATAATAACATGGTGCGCTTACAGGACTCGCCTCTGAGATCTTGGTTCCTCTGTGTGCTCTTGGCACTAGAGACAAACACTGATCACCCTTACATATGGGCAGTCACTGACCAAAGCCCCCTGAGAGCAGGGATTCTACCTGCTGTAGGGCCTTACCGATAACAGGTACCATCATCCGTGTTAAAGAAAGGCAGAGAGGGAAAAAGGGAAGGAGGGAGGAAGGATGGACCAGGAAGAGCCTGGCAGGTGAGTGAAACCCCAATCACTCAAAGCAACAACATATTCTAAATTCTGACCAGGACAAGGGTACTGCTGGAGGAGAGTGGAGGTGATTCTCAGGAAGGAGACAGATGAACAGTCCTTGTTTTTACTTTCTTATGAGCTCTAGGCACTGGTCCACTCCCTTTAGCCTCAGACCTCAGATCATAGTCTGAGCTGCACTTTCCACCACCACTGGGCCTCTGCAATGCCCGTGGGCTGTGCTCCCGTCTTCCTACTGCTTGGAGCTCAGAACTTGTAGACAGCTTGCTTTACCCCTCGTCTCCAAGGCGAACAGAGGGTCAGTGGGTAAATCAGTCAGGGCTGCCCCATGCAGCGATGTGAACCAGGGCTTGGTGCTAGGGTGGAGTTGCATTATGGAGGGTCTTAAAAGAGATACCGAACCAGGCACTGAAACCCAAGGATTACCGTTTGTGGTAGCAGCAATTCAAACAAACGTGCAACAGCAAACAGATCTCTTCGCCTTTGGAGGCTGTGCCTTTGCCCCTCAAAGTGAAACGAGAGGTTCTACACCCTTTGGAGGAAAAAGGGGTGGGAGGGAAAAAAAGGAAAAAGGAAAAAAACCGAAAGATTGAAGAATTCAGGATGTACTGGGAACACAAGGGGAATAGGGTTCCCCTTGGACGAAGTGAGTGAATCGGGTGGCAGTGGGAAGTGCGGATTACTCGGAGACAGGGACTAGCAAGCAAGGAAAACAGGAGGTAAAAGTGACTGGACAGAAAGATACGATGAGGTTGTGAACTAGGACGATGGGAACAGAAGCGGAGAAACCGTGATGAACAGCCCCCTTCCTCAAAAGTAGGACAGCTCCTCTCCCTGCCTAGACACATATCTCATATAAACACATAGACACACACTTGGGAGGTGAGAGAAAACGTAACTCCTCACTCGCCCTCTTTCCTCCGTGTCAAGCTGGGGGGAAGGGGGGCCCTCCCTCCTAGAGTCCTCCCTCCCACTCCTCCCTGTCCCTCCATCCCATTCTGGGCAGTGGCCAGAGGCATTGACTCTAAAGAACAGAAAGAGTCACAAGGGGGTTATTTATATCCGCAGCAGGGCTGAGGAGTCCTTCGTCTGGAGGGCATGTGTTGTCGGGTGGGCGGTAGGACTGCGCCTCCTCGCCTAGGCAGAGCCCTTGGTCGGGGAGTCTGCCCCACGTAAGGTCCTGCTGGTGTGAGAACAAGAGCACAGAGTCCACCACTCTGCCTCCCGAGAGGCTGTTGGTGAAGGCATCCATGCAGTGGGGCAGAACAGCTCACGTAGTCCAAATGCCACCTTCCTTTAGTATTTAATTATTTTCACAGTTCATGGAGTCCTTCCTGCAATTTTGTCTCACATTCTCTTCGGGGGAGATGGCTAACTCTCCAAAACCTTTCAGGAGGGCAATGATCAGTCAGGTAGAAAGTGCCCATTGAATTATGGGGCTTGTGCCCGATAGATTTGATGGCAAGAACTAACTTTGGACACAAGCCCATTTATTTTGCAGTTACTAAATAACTCAGAGAGAATGACGGCGTCGCTTGGGTTGGCTCATTTAGTGGGTGACACTTTCTTTTTTATCGTCTCGCCCCAGGGTTCGTGCTGACAGGAAGGCTGGGTGGATATAAATGCCCTCCTCCCAAGAGAAAAGAATAAACTCCTCTTGAACCAAGAAATTTTAGTCCCCTTAAGGTTCTAAAGTGACCTGGAACATCACTTCCCTTTAAGGCAGAGATAATCTGCTACAGAATTGCTTCATGAGGCTTAAATTTCTTTCCCTGCTGTGCTCTGGACTGGCACCCTGTGCTGGCCACTCCGCCAGAGGCAGGGGGCAACCAACATTTGGTGGGCCCCTGCCAGGGTGCAGGCTTTGGGCACATGTTATTACATTTCATTTCCACAACAGGGCTGTTATCAGCCCCATTTCACAGATGAAGAAGCCAAGGCTCACAAAAACGTTATGAGAGGAAACCAAGACAACAGCCAGGGGGATGATGCGGTGCGTGAAGTGCTGGAGGGAGCTTCTCGTTCCCATCACCAGGACAGTGTAACCTGAGCTCCGTCTGTCCACGTTTAGGCCAACCCAAGGGTCAGGCAGTGCCTCGCACACAGGACTGGATGTGGTGCTGGTCACAAAGGGACCGGTAGGAAGAGTCAGGTCTGGTTGGAGGAGTCAGGGCGAGTGTGTTTCTGCCAGGGTTTGGGGGGATGAGGCGGGTAGCTGGGGTCAGGGGAGAATGCATTCTGATTACACTATTTTCCTGCTGCCAAGGTTGGGGAGTGTGCCATCTCCCTCAAACACAGAGAACTGAAACCGGAGGTTAATTAGGATTGCTGTGAAGGGCTTAGGCTGGGAATAAGAAAAAACGTCTTGAACTGCAAAGATGGTTAGATTTCTGCAGGGGCAGCCACTCAGGCTAGAGAGCTTTTCTGAAGGGCCACACGGGAGTCATTGGGGACTCTGACCTGGACGGACCCACGGACCCATGCAAACTCACTCCCTCCCCCTTTCCCAGAGGGAAATGATCAACCACCGAGGAATCTCCTGCCCCCCCCCCAGCATAATCAAAGCCTTCCCTCCCACGGTCTATGCAAAAACAAGGAGTGGCACAGCCGTGAACCAAGGAGCTTGTCCATCTCTGTATTCCCGTTTCCCACTACTCTGTACATACTTGAGAAACATTTATTGAATAAAATAAAAGGTCACCTGTTTTGAGAGTTGTTTGTGTCCTTGTTGGCTGGGCCATTGGCATAGATCTGGGAAATCTGCTTGAGTTCACAAATTCCTGCTCAGACAAATGTTGCTGACTGAGCTATAATGCCCTGTGATCTCAGCGGAGTTTCCTTCAGTGCTCAGGATGAAGGAAAAATGCTTCCCATCAGCTACTCTTGGTCAGCCACGTGGGGGTGGCGGGAGGGGGCAGGAGTGCTTAGGACAGACTCTCCGGCCGCTCCAGTGTCAAGGGTCCTCAAGGAGGTTCCAGATGCGCTCACTCGGAGACATTTCTAGCCACAGCTAGTATGCCTTCTGAGCACCCCCGGGGACACTGTAACACTAAGTAGGATAGATCTGATGTCACTTAAGTGATTGTGTGATTACAGTCACTTCTCTCTAATGCCCTGATAACTCGACATGTGACATTGAAGGGTTCACGTCATCCAACAGCCAGGCTAAAAGCAGCAGTAGCTTCTGCAACGTGAGGCAATGTTTACTTCTTTTTGAGTGTAAGCTCCTACCTCTTTGAGGCTAAATATTGACCTTACACTTTAGGGGTGTAGCTTTTTTCCACATGCTCTTCTGTTCCTCTCTGGCTTCCAAGTAGTAGGTACTCAGTTGTCTCTGATTTTGTCAAGGAGAGGGTTTCTGAGCAGGAGGAACACCTGCACTCCCAGTGCTGCACAAGGAGAAGATGCCACACGATGGCCAGTCTTCTAATTACCTAGAAGCCCCTCCTGACTGCTACATTCAAGGAGAGATACTATCAGGGTTGCAGGAAGAGCATCTTTGCTGCTTTGTCTACAGGTTTTATAAAGCCCACTTCACATCCTCTGAAAATAGAGGTCTTGCCATGGCTGGTGTGGCTCAGTGTGACTGAGCACTGGCCTGCCAACCAAAAGGTCGCTGGTTTGATTCCCAGTAAGGGCACATGCCTGGGTTGTGAGTAAAGGCAACCCATCCAAGTTTCTCTCACACATAAATGTTTTTCTATCTCTCTTTTTCCCCTCCACTCTAAAGATAAGTAAAATCTTCTTTTTCTGTTAATTGAGGGCTCTCCCTGTCAGTTTCCACGTGCACTCCCACCACCAGCTCAGGGCCTGGCATGGTGATGGTGTCCCCCAGAAAAGGCCCTATCCCCTACTTGCATTTCTATAGGTTTTACACCTACGTGTCCTGGCCTGTGGGGAGAACTTCAGAGCTGACTCTCCTGATCACATGCTGTCTGCCTTTGCTGGTGGGTGGGGGTGGGGGGCAAGGGGGGGATACGAACATTAACAATTCGCCATCCCTTTGCTCATCTCCTCAAGGTGAGAGGGCACACAAAGACAAGACACACCATTAGCCTCCCTCTTTCCAACGGTGGGATGAACTCTAAGGGCAACACAGCTCACGTTCCCCTTCCATGGTGTTGGGAAACAGACTAGACGTGAGTATCTTCTCATAATTCCTTAGTCTAATTCGGTCCTATTTTATCTGCCCAAGTCCTCTATTTTAAGAATTTTTGATTCATAGCCACGAATAAGCTTCACCAAAATCCACAAATAAAATCTCCCAGGAAAGTCAAAAGGTGAACTACAGAATATTTCTTCTCTGCATACAGTCTTTTTCTTGCACTCATCCTGAGTTTTAAGGATACTGGGTAGAAGCTCCTTTTCCTGATTGTTCTAATTCACTTAATATTGTATTGCCTCCATAATTTCACTAAAAAAAATCTGGAAAGCACAGTAAAAGTATTTTTTAGTCTGTTTTCCAGCTAGGTGTCACTAAACCAAAGCTACACCAACAGACGTGATCTGGGAGGAAGGCAGTCCCCAAACTCAGTTCACCAACTTTCAATTGTTAACCAAACCTAAGTAATAAGTGAAGAGAGCAACTGCCCAACACCCTTGGCTGTGCAGGAGAGACTGGCTCTGGGAGAGATTACCAAGTAAGCAGAGAACAAGGGGAAAGTACAGACTGAAAAGTGTTCTGTAACCATAGTAGGTTTCAGAAAAGTCCCAACATTCTGCATTTTTCACTGGATTGTGGGAATCAATGGCTCTAGGTCTTGGTGTGTCACTCAAGGAAAATAACATGACTCCCTCCGCCTGAATCCCAATTACAATTAAAAATTAAATTGCTCATAGAATGAGTACTTCAGACTACACACCACAGGATAATGGACTAGGCTCCTGCTAAGCCATTAAATACGCAAACCATGATGTTAAAAGGTTTTTGTGCTCTTGGGCAAGAGATGGAGTGCTATTGGTAGGAAATCTAAGGCAATTCTCCAGACTTTTTGACTTCTCACTACATCCCATTGCACTTTTAATGTTGGTGACTGATAAAGGCTAAGTCCAAGGGCACATTACAGAAGGTACAGGGCTGGGTGTTTGGATGAACAACATGGGATTGTTTCACCAGATGTAACACACACACAAACCCCAAATACCTTGTTATCTACACAGTCTTCCATGTGAAACCATTGGAATATCAAACAATCCCAAGGTAGATCCCTTGTCCAGAAACTTACTTAAGAGTTATTCAGGTCCTAAGGTAATAGGGGGTCTGATTTCTTCACTTCTCTATTCTTGCACTGTCTAGTCCTATAGGAAGTAGATATGAGACTATTTGAATTTAACTGAATTCAAAGGGTATAAAAGATTCAGTCACACTAGCTGTATTTTAGATACTCAATAGCTGCATGTGACCGTTGCTGTCCAGGATAGCACAGACTTAGAACATCCCCATCACCACAGAAAGTTCCATTGGACAGTGCTGCATATACTCTGCGTGCCAGGTGGTGGTACACCCTATACTCCACACTGCTGGCAGACACTGGCATGGGAAGAGCAAGGGACCTATCCAAAGATCCATGGCACGTGATAAGTAGAACTTAAACTGACATCTCTGAGACCCTAATGTGAAGATCTTGTTTGTTTGGTTGGTTCTTCTTTGAACTGTTATCCTGATGTAAAACATGACTTAGGGCCGCCAGTTGTAAATCACCTGACACCTTGGTTGGTTTGAGCTAGAAAGGTCATATTGCAAACCTGTCTTAACGGCCATACAGTACTACTTCAATTTCTTAATAGTTATTATAATATTGCTGTCACCCTTAAAGGCAGTCAGTAGCTTTAGAAGTATTTTCATAATTTTCTTAGTATGTCTGTCTTTAAATATTTTAATCGAATAGGATTTACAGCAGTGTAGGCAGAATTCCCACTTAAAGTCATCATTAAATTATTTTGTTATTACTCTATGTACCCAAATTGAATATGAGGGAAGACAGTTTAAATGTGTTTGGTAGTAAAAGAAGGTAACTTATTTTGAATGAATAAATGCTGAGATGAAAAACTGATCGAACGCTGAAAGATAATACCAGTGAGGATCACAATAATGGTAGCATACACATATATCTACTTCCTATGTGCTAGGTATGTTCTAAGTGCTTTACACATATTAATTCTATAGTAACTCACTTAATCCTCATACCTACCCCACAAAGCACTGCTGTGCTTCCCCATTTCAGTTATAAGGAAACTGAAGCACAGAGAGAAGATTAAGCAGCTGTCCGAGGTCAGAGTTAAGAGTTAGGGTTTGAACTGTGCTGAAATGCCTTCTGAGCTTGTGCTCGTAACCACCAGGTTCCACTGGAAAGTTACTGAACACTGAGAAAGACAAGTCCTGTCTCCCTAGAATAAACCAGCCCATGCCCTTTACTACCCGTATTTCTAAATTCAGGAAACATACTCACTTCATAATTAGTATGTGTACTTTTCTTTTTGGCATAATTCCTTTCTTTTTCTCTTCATTAGTGTTGAAATTATAAAGTTTCCCTGCACCGAGGAGTAACTGTTTAATAGTTGATGCCAGAAAATGCAGTAGATACTACACCAAACATAATGTCCGAGTCCCAATCCTGGATCTAACAGATGTACTGAAATAAAGTAGCCTTTTTTTTTTTACAAAGATATTTTCATACTCTGAACTATTTGGACGTTTTTATTTCACAATTCCTTCCCAGGTTTGTGCCAGGGGCCCTGCAGTATATCAAATCAAAGTGTCTAGACCTAGAGCTGGCAAAAACGGATCTTCCCAAGATCTGCTTCTTTTCTGGAGAATTCTGCCTTGCAACGTAGTACCAGAAATCCGAAATCGACAATGTATGATTTCCTTTGGAAAATAGCCATTTAATCGGGGGAAAAAAGATATTTCCCCCCCCAGTAAAAAAGTTTTTTGGGTTTTTTTTTTTTTGCCTTTAGTCTTTTGGGCATCTTATAACAAAACTCTGGACTAGAGTCTGGCGATCCAGCCTAATTCAGTCACTCTACAAAGAAATGAAAGCCTACAGAGAGGAAGTGACTCGCCCCAGGGCACAAAGTGCATGCATCAGGGCCCAGAGTGGAATCCCCTTTCTAATTCAGCTCTTCTGGTAAAAGAGCGAGGAAGGGGCCCTGCCCTCGTCCTCCACACTGCTGGCCATTCTTCCTAAAGCTTACGATCCCAGATGCTGTCATGACCATGCGTCTCATGCAGTGGGGACAACGGGGCCACATCTACACAGTGTCATCTACAGCGGCCACAGTAGATTTATATGTTTTGTGACGATGTTCTGGCTGTTAGCAGGGAAATGTATTGTGTGACGACAACAGCTCATGAAGCCAAGTGATCTTACAGGGACCTGAGTTGTCAATCACTTCTCACCCCCACAAAGGTCGTGTGTGACAAAGAAATAAAAGCAAAACCCCATTATTTCCTTTAAACCATCCCTCATTTGAGTTATTTTCAAGTTTAAAGAGAAAAAGGCAAACACAAGAAAAGAAATTGAGAGATTTATTTTAAAAAGAAACTTCCGAGGAATGTGCCCGCTCCATCTGAGGCGCTGCTCTGAGCCCTAGTGCCCACACCATGGGTATCTCAGTGCTGTGACCCCCGATGCTTGGAGACCGTGATCCCGAAGAGCTGCATGATCCCCAGTCAAGAAAGAACAGCGAAAGTACATCTAGTGTACTGTGATAAGACAAGAAAGTATATAATTTTATCATGGTTTTATGTTTTATCATGGTTTTCAACCAGTACTGAAACAGAAAAAAGGAGATTTCTGGCCAACCAGAAATTTCTATTCCCTGAGCGTTCCAACTAACTGAGGTTGTGCTATGAAGAGATGTTCTTTCTAGTCAGTCTAGCATCACGTAACTTGCCGAGAACAAACTGATCCAATCAAAGGTCTGCCCTCCTACCTCGAAACATTAAGAAAGTAAATGTGAACAATTTTTTTCACTCTTAAAAACAAATGTAAGAAGTTCACACAATCACGCGTATTATCAGAAAAAAAACAAATTATTAATGTCCAATCCTTCTATGTAATTGTAAGCTGTCCTTGGGTCAATTAAATACCAAAACAATAAATCGGGTTTGCTGAAACACAGAACAGACAGCTGAGGAGCTGCAATAACAGCGGCACATCCCAACTCTGCGGGGGTCGTGCCGCCCGCTCTCATAACCCGCACGGTTTGGGAGACACTTTCACATCCATCGATGGGAGGCCTCAGTTTCCACCGCTGCACGTACTAGTCAGAGCCTCCCAAGGCTTAGCTCGGAGTCAGAGGTCCGTGTCAGGCCGCAAGTGGTACATGTTGCTAAGAAGCAGTCAACTCTACCAATTCAATGATCCCAACATGTGGCTTAAAAGAAAAGGAAGAGGTTTGGCAACAGTAAAAGAATAATATGAGAATGAAAATGTTAAATATGAAATAAAGAATCTGGTGAAAGGAGAAGGAAAAAATCTTTCTGGTTAGGAATCCAGTTTTTCTCAAATAAAATTTTTAAGAAAAAAAAACACATTGTTTCATAATATTACATTATAGAAATAGTGGGTAAATAGACCACATTATTACTTTCATATCTTCATCCATGAGAAAAAGCAAAGTCTTTTTGCCCATTTAACCAATCCCTGTGAAGTCCGTTGCACACTTGTCCTGTGGTTAAAACCGCGAGTAGGCGTTTCGCTGCTGCTGCTGCTGCTGTAACGGTTGCTGGGCTTGCTGTTGCTGCAGGCGAATTTGCTGGGAATAAGGGTCTTCCAGGGATTTTACAAATATGGTGGTTCTGGGACCGGTCTTCCATACGATGCCATTGGCGTCTTTCACGGAAGATTCCACTGTAATGTTGTGTGTTCCCAGGATAGCAAAGTTCAACAGAAACTGAGTACTAAAGTAATCATTATGAGGCTCGACCCTCTGCTCCATCTCATTGGTCATATTGTCAATGGGTATCTGGAATAGAAGAATTGTTAAATGATAAGAATAGCTGACATTTATTGAGCTAGGCCCTGCCTACGTGCTTCCTTTATCCATGTAAACAACAAAGAGGTAGGAACAATTACTATCCTTGCTTTACAGATAAGAAAACTGAGGCGGAGAGGTTAAGTAATTTCTCCAAAGTCACACAGTAATCAGTGGAGGAGCTGGCTGGCCTCTGAACCCAGGCAGGCTAACTGCAGGGTCTGCGCTCCTAGTTGCGGAGTGACCTGACTCCTCGCCGTGCTTGCAGAAGGAGCTCCCAGAGCCTCTGTCAGCCCCTTCCCGGGCTGGCCACGCTCCCTGGTGAAGGAGTTTCGGACACACCACCACCAACACGCGCTGCGCTGGCACCCTGACTACTCTGAGCTGAAGGCACTTGAGAAACGACAGATGCAAGGACTCTCGGACCTGCCCCTTTCTACCCAAAACAGGCTGTAAAATTTCCCACAGGAAAGGTAGCCTTCCTATACCAGGAAGAGAAGAGCGTCCTTCTCAGAGACTGGGCACTGGTGCCGTAATGGGTCTGTACGAACAAACCTACTAAAATAACCCTATTTCCCACTGGTCAGGCCCACTGCCCCGGCGGATGTCCTAGTCACCTTCTCACAACTGAAATGCCCCAAGCCAAATCCTTTGTCTTCTCATTTTGTCATGAACTTATCACTTCTGTGTCCTAAAGTATATAAGCTTTCTCCTCTGGTAACTTCTTTGGGTCTTTATTCCCTTGTAAAGATTCCCATCTACATGTAAAATTGTAGTTATTAACATTTGTATGCTGTTTTCCTGTTAATCTGCCTTAATGTCAATTTAATCTTAGGCCCAGCTGGAGGCCCTCAGTGGATAAAAAAGAAATTTTCCCTCCCTTATATTTGTTACCAGATCCCAACTCTAATTCCCACCTCTTTAGTCTGTGAAAAGACACTCTGAAAAAACAGGAAGCAACCACCTGTTTCAGGGAGTTTAAAATGTAAGAAACTGAAAAGACCATAACACTCAGTATAGATAAGTTGGGTTTTTTTCCTCCTAGCTAGTCTCCTTTTGTATTTCTTAAGTAATACAATGATTCTTCCCTCCTTTAGTATTAACTTTAGAATTAACTTAACCTCAGAACTTGTACACTGCTCACTTATCCAGTGTCTTGTTCAGAAGGGCAGTACGATACATTGTAAGACCCAGATTTATGGGCTCATTCACTCATTCAGCTAGACAGGCACTCCTGCTGTTGTCCAAAGACAAGGTGTGAGCCTACCTCTACCCACGGTGAGGAGTGTCAGGGAGACACTTTTTCTGAGAGTGCATCTAAAGGTACGCTAATGAGTATTTGACGGCACTGCTGTACATCTACAGGTGCTTCTGTTGTACAGTCAATGACATAAATGTGCCCTCAAGCTTTGTCTCAATAAGCAGTTATCACATCGGTTTTCCACGGTCATTACCTGTAACATTAATGAAACAAAGTCACCAACCAATTCAAGATCTTGGAGTTATTTATAGATCTTTTTTGTTTTTGTCTGCACATTCAACATCTGTAGGGTTTTAACCTTCCTGAAGAATATGCCAATCAAACAAGAACTTCCTTAAAAGGACGAGAAAAACGACCTTGTGACTCTAAATGGACGCTGCATTTCAGGTCGCAAACTCACTACAAGTAACGTTCCAAAGCCGCCACGGACAACGTGGCTCGCCACATCAGCTTCCCGACTTTAGTCGGGGCCTCTCAAGAGAGACAAGCAGAAGGCCAGCACTTCTCAGTGAGAATGTGTTTTTTCTTCATAGCAAAAATCATTATATGTAAGGAACAGAGAGAATCAAGGTTACTGTTATTTCAAATGCAAAGTGAGGAGAGAGCTGCAGACAGTTAACTATGTAAATTCTCACTATGATTTTTTGAGATGAGATCACCTAAACATAGCTGTTGCACTCTGAATACAGCAAATGACTTTTTTTTGTCACCAAGTTTCTAGCGAGTGGCTACATAAGGCACCACGCATTGGGTCATAAAAGTCAAAGAGAAGAAGAGAACAAAGACTGAGCCTTATCAGATCGAGTGCAGAGTGCCAGAGCAAGTTACCAAAGTACAGAAAGTGACAACGGCCTAAATCAGACCTCCCCTTGGCTTTTTTAGTCTAAAACCGAGAGAGAATGAAATGCTCTCTTCGTATCTTTACTGACACCCCTTCCCTTGCCGTGAACCTCAGTTCAAGCGTGCCCCCAATAAGCCTGGACATGAGCACCGTGAGCTCCTGAACACCTCTGCTCATGCAGCTGTGTATGTGATACCTTGCTCCAAGCATGGTGAACAAACTGCCACAGAGACGTCTAAAGGAAAAAACATTCTGCGTTGGAAGACTGGTAATTCACGGGCACACACTCAGAATCAGAGCTTTGGCCGACAAAGCAAGCATGACTTTGGTGAACATTTCTCATGATTCTCAAAGGAGCGAACCTCTAGGGTTATAGCCATAAGGAAAGATTTTACCTTAGCTGACTACTGTATATCAATGTTGCATCTTTTTTTTTGAAAATGCTAAAATTTACTTAAAATAGAGAAAAATAAATAGATGTGTTCTTTGGGGGGCAGAGAGACCAGGGAGAGAGACACTTAGTCCCCACTTGTGATGTTTCCCTCAGTGTGGAAGAACCTTTCATTAGATGCACGGTGCTGGTCTCCAGGGGGGGTGATGAATCCCACCAACTGTTAGGTTTCAGGGTGGGAACTGGGAATGGGCAGCTAAACATCTGCTCTGCTCCTTCTTTGGGCTTCCAGAGCCACCAGTGTCACCGGAGCAGGCTTTGTGTGCACTGGCTGAGGCCGAGTAGGAAAACCCAACTGAGGGACAAGGCCAGAAGTCCTCACCACCAGGCACCTGGGCTCTAGTAATAATAACACTCATCGCTCGATCTCTGTCTGCCTGGATGTGTGGTCTATCAAATGGTTCAGGAAGGGGAGACAAGTGTCATCACCAGCCCCTCAAACCCCAATACGTGCTTTTAACTCATGTCCACCTGATGCCTGGGGAGGTGGAACTGCAATCTACTTAACCATGAAAAAAACTAAAAAACTTCCATCAACAAGTTGATTAAATCACATAATTCTGCCCCTTTAATCACCTTGTAGTCTTGTCCAGATTTACTCTGTAGCGTGGAGGAAACATTCAAACAGACAGACTGAATTTTGCGAAAGAGTCCTGGTTTCGATCCGTGCTGAACCACTCCCTCCACCTTCAGCGCCAGCTGCTGGTTGTTCTGGACAGCAATGGGCTCCGCGGGGTTCCGGGGGGACGGTGACAGAGCGAGCTGGAACAACGACATCAAAATGAACCCTAACTGCCAAGAACGAGCTTCCTTCCAACACATGTCTGTGCTAGTCGCTGTTATGGGTCAAAACGTCACACACACACACACACACACACACACACACACACACCCCACCCCCAACTGCGCTGGGACAACCAGATAGACATGCCTTCAGAGTCAAGGGCTCCTTGTTGATAGTGCCTCCTTTTAAATACCCATTGACTTATTTTTTTTAAATAAAATAAACTGGGCCCAGCCCCAGTTCTGTTTGAGTGCAACAGAAGATTAGAGAATAGCAAAGCCACTGCTCTCCCAATTTCTGTGGAAAGGTATTTCTTGGACAATGAACCAATTCTAGTAGGGAAATAAACTATGCAAATTTTTATGTCCAGCAGCTGTCTCTTGGGTCTTAGGTAATTTTAAATTGACTAAATTCAAATGCAAATAAACTTAAAATTCTAGGATTGCATCTATGACCAAGTCTCCATAAAAGTCAATTTCCACAAGTGAACCAAATGATACTTTAAATCTTTTTAATTAGAGTGTTTATTCTTTAAAAAAAATTAAAAATCCACTTCATCTACAGAAAGCTCAAATCTTGCTACATAAAAACATCAAAAAAATTGGGTCTCTTTGATAATGCTGTTAAACCGCTAAAGTAATCAACTCTAGAGACCTGCTACCTTAGGACTTATGTAGATAATCGATTTTCCTTGCTATTCAGGTCATTTGAAGTGGCTTGCTTTGTTATTTGCAGTCAAAAGCATTTGGATAGATACCACAATGTACTGAAGACGTTTTCTGACAGGGATAACCCAGGATATCTCTCAGAAGTGACGATTTCCCCCTTTCCCCACAATTCAATTCCTTGAATCAAAAATAACTTCCAAATTTTGGGTAGCTTAAATATTTAAAAATACTAATTCTATTCATTGGCCAGCTCCTCGAAACTTGTTATTCAAAGACAAAAGTGCTTTGGAGGTAGGACTGGCCGCGTTTTTACTGAACTTGTTTCATTTGAAGAACATACTCTTGGAGCAGGGAGCCAAGGCCCGGAGCTGCAGGGGCCCACACACCAGTCTCACTGCAGTTGGTACTGACAGGCACTCCACCCCCTTCATCAGACCGATCAGTACAGGGAGGAAAGGCTTACAACTAAAGAGGGTTTTATCAAAACCAAAGGTCAGATCCGGAAGTAGAGCTCCAAACATTAAGATAACTGGGTTTTTGATCTACATTAACCTTAGCATTCTTCCTTTATTACCTTGATGCTAGTAGACTGTAGTTTCTGGAAGAAATATCTCTGAAATGAAAGAGGAACTTTCAGCAAAGCAATGATGGCATTGCAGAGGCATGCTGTATGCTGGGGAGAAAAAGAAACGGAATCAAATAAAAATAAATTTCCAAATTTCATCAACGAATGGTACGTTCAGGAATAAGTTTCTACAAAAGCTCATACAGACTACTACAAAGTGAACAATAATACCACCAATCAGGAAATAGTCATAATACCCAGAAATTGGGAATATTTGCCAAACCATTCATGTTATGGAGTACAATGACAGACTTTGCTTTATTTTGAAGTAGTATATTCAATAAAAAGTAAATGACAAAAAGGAGAACACCTACACTGCTCATATTAAGCCGCTAAAATAGAGTAACTATCAGTTTGATAAAGTATGGCAAAGTATGAGGAGGAGCATATGGAAAGAAGCCAGAGCAGGGGACTGACGCCCGAGAGCAGACACCAAATCCCGTGTGGAACTCTGGCTTTGAGTCGCCTTGTTTCGTCACTCATTTCCACAGGGCGGCTCGCTGACGCCGTCGCCATGAGGTCCCAGAAAGTGGGCAATGGTGAAATCTTGCTAGAATTAAGACTAAGGACGACTATATAGTCCAACTCTGCAGAATTCTGAAACTTTAATAAAGTACCTTGTTTCCAGTCTCTATTTCACAAACTGAACTGAGTTTTGAAAACCCTAGCATTTACTGCACTGTGATAGTAACACTCAAGCAAATCCTTTGTGTCTTACTGAAAAGGATCATAGAGCCAGAGTTTAAGGGTCAAAGATTACTTATTAATTTAAAACCACTCTATTGATGTACAATGACATACAAAAACTGTATATATTGAATTTACACAACTTAATGGGTATGGAGGTAATTATACACCTATGAAAGCATCAAAGCTATTTCATTTATATGTGTGTGTGTGTATGTACATATACATACTTTATCTTCACCTGAGGACATTTTTTCACTGCTTTTAAAGATAGGGGAAGGGAGAGAAAGAAACATGGATGCGAGAGAGAAGCATCAACTGGTTGCCTCCTATATGCGCCCAGACCAGGGACTGAACCTATGACCTACATATGTGCCCTGACTGGGAATTGAACATGCAATCTTTCAGTAACAGGACGATGCTCTAACCAACTGGCCGGGGCCATTGGAACTGTATTAAAAATCCCCCTCTTTTTCATGATGGTACAGGTTACCTAGGCAGGTATTGAAACAAGCTGTAACGAGAACCTGGGCTGCCTGATGCTTACTTAGTTCAGTGATTTTTGTTTCACTTCACCAATGATATGCAAACGACAGCAAAAAAACAAAACAAAACACTACAGCCCTATCACGACACTTAAACTTTGGGGCGTCCAGAAGCATTCCTGCTTGGTTTACCATCCCTCCTCAGCTACACCCCTCTCGGTGCCCCCGTCCCTCAAAGCAACACAGGTTGAAAACCACTTCCCTACACAGTACACGCTGTCCTTCAAGCTCCTGCTTTCAAATCCAGGGGGTCAAATTAATTTTCACTGGAGGCCCCATGAGCCTCGCAGTTGCCTTCAAAGGGCCGAATGTAATTTTAGGACTGTACAAATATAACTACTCCTTAACAGTTAATCGAGAGCTCAGCACTGCCACCAGGTAGAAACAAGGTGCCAGCCGGATAAAACAAGGTGGAGGGCAGGATTTGGCCTGTGGGCCTTGTGTTTGCCACCTGTGAAGTAGACTGTCACCTAGTTGCCTGCACTGTAAACATTTTTTAAAAGTTGGGAAATAAGGCTGAAAGACAGAAGAACCCACTCCTCACTGGTCTCAGGCTGTTGAATATTTTATACCCGTCAGATTACTAGTAGTAATACAAATGCCAGGTGTACTACTTGAGAGAATGACAATACACATTTCAAGGCACTGGGTCTGGTGTTTTTCAAGTTCAACTGCTAAAACAACACTATTCATTTTCTTGCAACAAGGAATGTGGGAAGCATTTGCAGGGAACCTTTGATGGCACAATAGTGCTTAAGGAAAGAAAACATCAGTAAAGGACAAACTTAGAGGACCCCAAGTAACCTGAGGTTGTTCCTGGGCAAAAAGACATCCTTCTCCCTATTAAAAGAATGAATGCACATTTGCAAGTGCCCCCTGGGAAAGCAGGACAACCTCTAAGGCCACCAGCCCCCTGAGCCACTCTACCCCCAGGTATGAAAACAGCAATTTACTACTAAAGTAAGAGTCTAGAGAAGTGAAATCACACGTCATGTTCCTAAACCAGCAGGAAGACGAGCGCATCACTCACTAACACACTCTTCATTGTCAAATCCAATACTTTTTAGTCTATTTTTTTTCTTTTAAAATATATTTTATTATGTTATTACAGTTGTCCCATTTTTTTTCTCCCCTTTATTCCTCTCTGCCTGGTACCCCCCTCCCACCAGTTCATGTCCATGGGTTGTACATACAAGTTGTTTGGCTTCGCCATTTCTCATACTATTCTTAACTTCCCCGTCTATTTTATACTTCCTATTTATGCTTCTTATTCCATGTACCTTTTCCCCGTTATCCCCCTCCCCTCCCCACTGATAACCTTCCATGTGATCTCCATTTCTGTGATTCTGTTCCTGTTCTAGCTGTTTGCTTAGTTTGCTTTTGTTTTAGTAGGTTTGATTGTTGGTATTTGTTTCTCATTTTACTGTTCATATTTTTTATCTTTTTCTTAGATAAGTGCCTTTCACATTTCATATAATGAGGGCTTGTTGATGATGAACTCTTTTAACTTGACCTAATCAGGGAAGCATTTTATCTGCCCTTCCATTCTAAATGACAGCTTTGTAGGATAGAGCTATCTTGGGTGTAGGTCCTTGCCTTTCAGAAAGACTTTGAATACTTCTTTCTAGCCCCTTCTTGCTTGTAAGGTTTCTTTTGAGACAACAGCTGGTAGTCTCATGTAGGTAAAAGCAATCCTTTGTAGGTAATTGTCCTACTCTCTTGCTGCTTTTAGGATTCTCTCCTTCTCTTTAATCTTGGGTAATGTAATTATGATGTGCCTTGGTGTGTGCTTTCTTGGGTCCAACTTCCTTGGGACTCTGAGCTTCCTATAAGTCTATTTCCTTTGCCAGATTAGGGAAGTTCTCCTTCATTATGTTTTCAAATAAGTTTTCAATTTCTTGCTCTTCCTCTTCTTCTTCTGGGACACCTATGATTCAAATGTTGGAACATTTAAAGTTGTCCAGGAGGTTCCTACACCTTTCCTCATTTTTTAAAATTATTGTTTCTTCATTTTATTTTGGTTGAATGTTTATTTCTTAAACTCAAGTTACTGTTTAGCAAGTTACTTAATTTTTTAGGGTGCAGCTTAAAGGGAATATGAAAATAATTTAAGCAATCATCATCTCACACAGATGTGTATATTTACTTCAAAGATAGTCTTTACAATCTTCCTTAGCAACCAGTCTGAGTGTCAGACCTGTGTCAATCAGTTCAGTGTCAATGATGACCTTACATGGGAAGCTCTATGTCCAGGAAAGTATCTGTCCTTAAAATCTAATCTAATTCTTTAACAACACATCCTGCCAATTTCCTCCAAAAAACCTGATAAACGGCGAGAGTCCAGAATGAGAAGAGCAGGAACCAGGACAGAGCTATGGGGAATATCAGCATCTAATGTGTGAGCAGGGCACGAGAAACTCTCTAAGTAGTAAAGTTCAAGACAGTGTTATGGATTGAATGTGGATGCCTTCTCCAAATTCCTATGGTGAAGTCCTTACTTCCAATATGTTAGTATATGGAGATGGAGCCTCTGGAAGGTGACCAGGTTTTTGATGAGTCATGAGGATGGGACCCCCATGATGGAATTAGTAGCCTTATAAAAAGAGAGAGTCCAGTGCTCTACACAATATGTGAGGACACAGTGAGGCAGCCTGCAAGCCAGCAAAAAGGCACTCACTAGGAACTGAATTGGCTGGCACCAGTTAGCTTGTTAAATAGTGATCCTGGACTTCCAAGCTTCCAAAACTGTGAGAAAGAAATGTCTGCTGCTTAAGCCACCAAATCTACAGTATTCTGTTCCAGGAACCTGAGCTAGGACACTGGAGACTGGCCAGACATGGAGGAGAAAATCTGGGTGAGAGTATGTCCCTCAGTCCTGTAACTGGAAAGTCAGACGACAAGACTGAATAAAGAGCTAGTACTCTGTGGTGCCAGAGACGGCAGAGATTCAGCAGGTGAAAGGCGGGCAAGTACACTAAACGGTGTCATTGGCATCACCTCACAGAACTGATTTACTGCCAGTCAGATAACAAGCCCAGTTCTTTGGGTATCAAATGGCCTGTGGTTCTTCTCAAGCCTGGTGGCATGACAGAATCGCCTCAGAGCTGAGCTGTGAAAAACACTAGTGCCCGGGCCTTAACTACACAGATTTAGAGTTCACTGGTCCGGGGTGGGGCCTGCATACTGATATACTTTTTAAATAGCTTCTAAAGTGATTCTAATGTATAGCCAGGGTGAGAACAATGACAACTTCAGTTAACTTGTTAAAAAAGAAAAGAAGTTTTATCTGCATTCTGGTAGAGCAGATTTGACATCTTAATGTGACTTTGTAGCAGCTACAGATGTGCTAAGTGCTTTCATGGATCTTCTTCTCATTTCATCCGCATAACAGTGCTGTGAGGTGCACACTGTATTAACCCGTCACAAAACGGCACAGTGGAAAGAGGCAGAGACAGGTTGACTTGCTGAAGTCCCAGTAAGTGCCAGAGGTGAGTAAAAACCCACTTGCACATAATAACAGCTCAATAAAACAAATGCAACTTGCCATGTAAGAAACTGGAGTATATTTCCGATTGAGTGACTCCACCTCCTCCAAGACATGATTATACACAGACATCATTCTTCTCTCATATTCGCTGTCAGCATGGGCTGCTCCAGTAGATCCATATTCCTGGAAACTGAAGTTAAAATCGGTATCAATTAATCAACCGCAACAGTAACTACGTTATGTCTAAATGCATCAGGCACTTTCCACACACTCTCATTTAATTTTTAAAATAATGGAGTACAGACTATTAATTCCATTTTACAGATGAGGAAACTGAGCCTTGGAGAGGTTAAGTAATTTGCCTTCAGTCTTATATAACTAGTAGGTGACAAGCTGGAATTCAAATTCAGATTTTACTTCTAATCACATACATGTCTTTACTGCTCTGGTTGTCAGGCAGTATAAAAGCACTAAAACTCGTCTCTGTGGTCATACACTTATTTTTTAGGCAGTAGAAATAAAGGTTAAATGCAAAGGAATCATGACAGATTGAATAAGAAGCTAAATAGAAAAATGTAATGAACAAGCATCTCAAAATATTTTTTCCTGATAATCCTGAAAGTTGGTATATGGCAGATAATAACTAACATTCATGATTGTAAACTCCTTGCCCAACCTATCCCACATTTACTGAAACACCAGCTCAGGTACTATGTTAGCTGCTAGAGACACAAAGCTGAATAAAACAAGGTGTCTTCTCCCAAAACACCTTCTAAGCTATGAAGAGAGATGCACAGATTTCTGTAAAAACTACAGTGAAGTATCGATGTCATACGTCACTCTCTTCAAGTTCTTTCTAGAAGTGTGTCCTTCTTTACTCAGAAGGCACAAATAGATACTATCAGGAAGTTTTAGAAGGAATCTACTCCTTGTAGTTATACACCATTGCAAACAAAACTCAAAAGACCTCTCCCTCAAAGTACAATCTTTTTTCCCAATTTTTCATTTCTATGAAGGGCAAAAGGTTAGAGGAATGGATTTGTGGGATAAAAGGAGGTGGAAAAGAGTGGAGAAAAGTGGTAGGAAGGGGAGAGGGTGAGAGAGAGCAACATTGCAAGCTGGTAAATAACTCCCTTCACCTTATCCCTGCTGACAATGTGCCTATCTCTCTCACAAAAAGTTAATCAAGAAAAACGCTCATTTCTATTATGTCCACCAACAGTACAATGACACCTGATTTCTAAACAGCTAAATGAGCATGGTACAATGAGAAATGGTGTGGCCTGAAGTGTCAATTAACTGGCAAACACTCTGAAAAATATGGAGGTTTAAGAACATCTTCAAATTTAAAAAGGAGAGGCTTGTTTAAAAAAAACCCAGCAAGTCGAACACTGCACACTGGGGAAAATAAACAGATGTGAGAAGGATAAATAGACAAATAGGTAAACATCAGCGTGTCATGAAAATGTTAAAATGTATCAGATAAGTGGGGGGGGGGGGGAACTGCCAAGTAGGCTAGTCGGAGACTAAGTAGTACTTTAAAACAGAAGAAAAGGAACTTGGTATTGCCCTAAAAAGAAACAGTGAGTCAATGTTTTAAGGCAGAGAAATTTCAAACACATTGTTGATTATACTCTTTGAGAAAGCTGATCCTGGAATCATAAGCGTTACTAGATTTGAAATTAGACAGCTGAAAATGCATATTCCAAGACAGTATATTATAATGGGAAAAACCAATGTGTTATTCTTTTGTAAAAATATTTGAATAGTTAACTAGTTAGTGGTGGAGGGGAGAAGAATTTTAATAAAGCAAAAATAGAAATATTTTTTGCTTGGGAAACCAAAGGAAAAAGTTCAAGCTTAATTGTATTATTAACTCAATTTTTCATACCAAAGTTTAGTTATAATATGTGAGAAGAAAATGTTCAAATTCAATGAACTTCTTCCCAGTTATTTTTCCAAGTCAATGTTGAGAAACTACGAGTTGAAAGTAAGTAAACAATATAGTCAGAAACTCCAGGTTTTGTTACTAACTAGGTGACTTCAGACAAATGCTGGAGAAGTTTCTCCCCTGGAATTTTTTTTTCTTTGCCTATAATACCTCTTCCAAAACACTGTTGTAATAATTAGGTAAGAAAACATATTTGAAAGTGCTCTTTAATGTAAACTATTATTAGAAATACCTTGCAGATTCTGGATCCAAAATCAGAGCTTCTATTGCATGAGATATCAGTAAACAGCTCTGCTGCTGCCTAGATTAGTGTTAAGGCTGTGGCTGAACATAAAGAAATACACTACAGACTTTATATTGTCTGAATATTAAAGAAGTCAAGGTAAGGATATTTTTAGTGAAATATATGTTATCAATTAGAACAGTTTGGCCCCTGGCTGTTCACTGTTGTAGCTCAATGAATTGAGTGCGGGCCTGCAGACCAGAGTATCATGGTTCGATTCTCAGTCAGGCAGGGCACATGCCTGGGTTGCAGGCCAGTTCCCAGCAAGGGACACATGAGAGGTAACCATACATTGATATTTCTCTCCCTCTCTCCTTCGCTTCCCCTCTAAAGATAAATAAATAAAATCTAAAAAAAAAATAACAGTTTGGGATTCTATTTTTTCCTTTTAAGAGCTACATGGTGTCTGAAATAGTGATTCTGAAATTCTGTATCAGGAAGGGTACTTCAGAGGCTGCCTAATTGGAGAAGGGGACATCAAGCAACAGGCTCTATGATTCACAGAAACTTTTAAAAAAGATTTTACTTATTTATTTTTAGAGGGGAAGGGAGGGAGAGAAAGATGGAGAAACATTGCCTCTCTTGTGCCCCTCACTGGGGACCCAGCCCGCAACCCAGGCACTCAATCCACTGAGCCACACCTGCCAGGGCCGAGGAAACTGTTTTTCATCTGTTGTGGATAAAAGGGTTTCACTGATACAAGCTGACAACAGTGGTGTGCAGAGTAGATCCTGCACTGGCGCTCGAGGGATCTGTGAACGGGCCTGACCCTACATGCAGACATTGAGGGGTGTGTGCATGACCGTATTTTACCGTGTACGATACGCTTTTTTTTGCCCAAATTTTTGAGGGAAAAATAAGGATGCACATTATACACGAGTAGTACTAATTCTATATCTATATAAATGTTTTTAATTCTTTTATTTATGCTTATGCATTAGAAGTATAACTCTAGAAGGCAATAACTATATCTGTATATTCAAAAACAAATGCTAAAATTCCTTTATAATACAAAAAACAAATACCTAAATAAAATTAAAAAATGAATTAAAAAATTAAAACAAAAGATTTTTTTCCCTGGAAATCTGGGCCAAAACCATGGGTATACATTATACACAGGAGCACATTATACATGGCAAAATATGGGTAAACTCATTTTTTAGGGAAGAGGGTCCATAGCACTCATTAGGTTGTCAATCAGTAAACCAAAATGCCAAGAACTACAACTTAAAAAAACAATTTATCTCCTCTTTCTCATAAAGGATTTGAGGCTGCTAACAAGAAAATATGGAGACCTTAAAGAGCGCTGAGGGAACAAACGTGATGACTGAAACGATTTCATAGATCATTAATAAAGGTGGTGGGAACTGGGGTTGTCGGCTATGAAGATAGGAAGGTGAGACAAGCACAGAGCAGTTCCCCGTGGGAAAGTGGTTTGGGTTGTCTGCGTTAGCTCAAGGGCACACAGAGCATGCAGCGCCGGTAGGGTCTGGGTTTTGAATGCTCTTCCTAGAGGCAGAAAAAGACCACCGCTCAGTTACCACTTTTTGAAAAAGCCTAGTTCAAGTTAAAACGTAAAATTATACTGCTTGTACTCAACTTCAAAGGGAAAATTATTCGTTATAATAAATTTATAAGCTTATTGACATATATATATATATATATATATATATATATATATATATATATTTTACTCAAGTACAGCTGAGGTATTTACATTAAAAAAAATACTTTAAGCCCTGGCTGGTGTAACTCAGTGGATTGAGCACCGGTCTGCGAACCAAAAGATCTCCGTTCGATTCCCTGTCAGGGCACATGCCTGGGTTGCAGGCCAGTTCCCAGCAGGGGCCAGTTCCCAGCAGGGGATGCACCAGAAGCAACCATACACTGATATTTCTCTTCCTCTCTCCTTTCTAAAGATAAATAAATAAAAATAAATAAATACTTCAAAAGAAGAAGACATATTGGAACAAGTTTAGGATACAGCTCTACATTCCTTAAAGTTGCTGAATCGGCATCAAAAGATGCCTGATAAAGCTCCCCATATCGGGAAGCAAGGTTTCGAAATTCTTCCATGGACTGCTTCATCTATAAAGAAGGAAAAAATATTAATTATGATATATAAACATGCTATCATTATTGTATAAACACAAAAACCTAAACAGTTAAACCATAAAAAAGATCTTAAAGGTATTTAAAATTTTCATGTTCATTTTATTCATTTTTATAAACCTTGTTAAATAAAATTAACAGAGAGCAAATAAAACTACAAATGCGCACAAAATTATGGTAATTTATATCTGATATATAGAAATAAACAAAAAGGCTGCATTTTTAGCTTAAGCTACACTAAAATAATTAATGTAGTTATTTAAAGAAACTGCAAACTGCAAGGTTTCTTTAAAATATATGTCCTTTATATAAAAATGTAGCATTTAGTAAGACACCATCAATCTCTTTGTCATTCTAATAAGACATCAGCCTATTTTCGGCAAAATAGATGAGCTAATAAGCATTTGAGGTTTAATGTCTATGAGTCAAACCACTGATTTGTAAATTACAGGATTTTTTACGTCACAAATTACTTCAAAAACCTCTAAAGTATCAATAAAAACTGCACTGAAAATAAAGTTGAGACATGCCTGATTAGAGATACGACCACACCTCTGGAGGTCATTCCCCAAGGTCATGGCAATTGTGGTGGCAATTGCAGGCGGGGGGCTCGTCTTTAGACTATTACAGGTACAGATCAGTTGAGAGAAGGCTTGTAGAAGGTCAATCCTGAGTTTCACAAATTCACACTGAAAACTTAAAGGATTCAGTGGTGTACTGGCAGCCTGGGAAGAAAAAGATATACTTAAGATAAAATTAACATAGCAGCAAGATGGTACAGTACAAAAACAAGTCTTAAAGGCAATGATGATATCTCATTTCCTAAACTGGATACTCGTTTTATTTTTTGGATACCCTACATAAAAATATGTGAATATATATGTATTCAATACATAATAAAGAGAAAAAATAAATTAAAAATCCACCATTGCAGGCAGAATGCTAAAATGGTTCCTGATTCATTCCCCTCTAGTATCCACACCTTGTGTAATCTCCCTGCTTTGAGTGTGGGCGGAACATGTAACTTGCATCCAACTAATGAAGTATGGCAAAGGTAATGATTTTGAGAATGCAATTTAGGTCCCTAATGAGTTAAATTTATATTTATCAAAAGGGAGCTTATTTGGGTGGATTTCTCCTAATCTGGTCAGCCCATTAAAAGAGGGCCTTGAAGTGAGCAATTCTTTTGTTGGCCTTAAAGCTTCCTCAAGTTCTATGGCTGTGAGGAAATAAATTCTACCAATAATTACATCAATTTAAGAACCCTAAGCCTCCTTGAGCTGCATTAAGACTGGCCCTGGCTGACGCCTTCACTGTAACTTTGTGACAATATCAACACAGGAAGGACCTAGAGAGGCTGTACCTGGACTTCTGACTCATGGAAGCTGAAATGCTACGTGGGTGCTGCTTTAAGCTACTAAATCTGTGGTAATTTGTCACCTAGCATAGAACATGAACACAAACACTTTTTACAATTTTTATTCCTAAGAAGCAAGGTAAGTCCATCATTGGAACTTACACTGTGTTGGGAAGTTAGACACCCAACATTGCTACAGGGTCCCCATAAGCACAGAATTTTGAAGTTCCCGTGTTTAGCTTGGTTGAAGCAGGTAAAAGCACAGTAATTAAGCCTCATCGCCGAACAACCTCAGGTTAGACCACTTGTGTCAGGGAGGACAAAGGGCAGCCCATGCTCATGTGCCCTCGGTTAAAGAGGCAGAAAGCTAGTGTCCGATCCACACTTGCCAAATGAACAGATTACAAATAAAGCCTTAAAAAAAGAAACCCTCATGGTAGACAGACAGTACAATCAGAGATGTGGGAGGTGCCAAATGATTCTAAGGCCTGTACTGCCTTCCCCTCTAGACTATTCGTAAATGGAGAATCATTTCCTGATTTATTTGTTTGTTTTTAATCCACAAGCAGCAAGTGCTTACAGTCAGCTGAATAAAAGAACTCCATTCCAAAAGGAGATGATTTGAGGCCTAAAAACATGTCTTAGGTCACAATGTGTTAAGGCAAAGTGGAGACTAAGACAAGGGCCTTCTGTCTGTCTCTTACCTCACACTTCAGTCCTTAATTACTACCAAAACCTCATTAAATACACGTACCATACAAATCTTACGAGACTATGAAATATTCAGTAGGGTTTTTCATATTACTTCTACCTGCCTCAGATTTTTGTGGGCCTGTTTTACAGTCTTTAGCACTTACTGTACTTGATGATTAATAATTTTCTGCTCCACATAAAACCAGAAAATGAAATAATTCTACTGATTAGAACCCATAATTGTAACTTTTGATTTCCTGAGGCATTTATTAGCCTGATATAGGCAACAAAAATCTTTCCCTAGAATAATCAAGAGGAAAATAACCATAGTAGTCAATGCAACTTTTTAAAATGGAGAGGAGCTTGTTTTAAGATAGCATCAATCCTAACCAGAAAAATCATACTTCAAGAGATCTGTACCCACAGTAGCCTGAATATTCTGTCTCTTTTGTGAGACTGGTCTATTTTTTGTTCTATTTTGAAGCATTTCTTTTAGGATGGGCCACCATTAAAAATATTTTAGATTATGTGACAAATGTACATAAACAGTCACCAAAGAGATTTATGGCCCATCTAAATATATACAACTTTGAAAGTTATATAACAATATTTTTTTACTGTTTATGTTGATTATATAAACTTTTTACTCCTAAGGGGAAAAAGGTCTTTGCATTAATACAGGAAATGCTCATTTTAGGGAATAGGTTCATTTTTAGGGAACAGGTCTTTGCATTAATACAGGAAATGCTCATTTTAGGGAACAGGTTCATTTTTAGGAATATAACTGATTTCGAGAAAACAAGAAATGTTAAGTGTCTGCCTTCTCTGCAACCCCTTCACTTTCTTGGCACAGAAAATGAAAACTGTAGCTGGCTAACTATTAATTTGGCATAGGAAGATACAGAGGGGGACACTAGCATCCTTGATAATTTCTTCTTTATCCACAAAGCAAGCAACTTTAGTTTCTTAGTGAGTAGCTGTGAGGTATGAGATGGGTGAGGATTTATGTTGATGGGGGTAGTGACCCAGGTTGGGGTCTTACTAATAGGATTCTGGCAAGTGAGGATCCTATTTCCATTTATCCCTTTGCATAGATTCAGCAATCCTCTTCATATGTGGTTCCTGGTATTTGATAAAAACCACATAATAATAAATTCTCATCAATCTATGAATGTTAAGAGGTAGGGGTGGGGTTCAGAATCTACTTCCAAGTCCTATTTATTATTTTAATACTGCCATATATATGTATATCAGCAGATGTTTCGAGGTGGTTAAAACAGAATAATAAAAGAGATGGGAGACCGCTCTCACACAAGTCATCGTCACCAAAGGAGAATTCAGAAGACTTACTGTTAAGGATGCAATCCCTTTGTGGTAGAATTTTAAAGACTCAGCAATGCAAGAAAGTGCTGAACTATAATTCTCTTCTTGCAACCCAGTGAAACACTGTTCCGCATGTGAAAACTCCTTCAAACTATTCAGCCAGAAGTAGAAATGTTCTGAGGCAACCTGAGTCAGCAAACTCTGATAGAGCTCTCTGGCCATGTCATGGTTACCCTAAAAAAAATCATGGCACGTAATGAAGTTCTTACACTCGAATTAGCAAGTAAAAGACAAACCTCAATCTTGGACAGACTATAACAATCATTCCTTGCATTATGTAATTCTTTGAGACTCAGTCTAAGTATTTTCTCAGTATATGTTATACTTTGCTGCTTTTATATAACCTAATGCCTATAATTCTTTACTAAAACACATCCAAAGAGAAAATAAATGGACTTAACTACAACCTGAGTCTAGAATTTTAGTTCAAAATACAGAAAGTATAAATACTACTGTATGTCATGTGGTACAAGCTACTGAGTGAGGTGGGGGGAAACTCCAGTAAGTTCCATTAAGTGACTATTAAGAAGAATACTGTTCCTGCCTCTGGGGGCAGGGTAGTTGGGGGACATGTGGCTATTTAATGCCTAGGGACCAGTGCCCTGCAGTGCTTGGAAGCTCGGGACAGCTGGGTGTAATATAGCACTGGCCGGCCAGCAGTGGTCCTCCTCCCATTTGAGAAACAATGGAAACACGTGCTTCACTCCCCTACAATAGGGACCCCCATCCTCTGGACCCCCACCAGTCTGGGCCTGTTAGAAACCAGGCTGCACAGCAGAGGGTGGGCTTGAATATAATGCTCTTCAATCATGCCGAAAACATCCCCCAACCCCCGGTCCCTGGGCAAATTGTCTTCCACAAACCTCGTTAGGAATATAATGAGGTCCTTCCTGTCATCATCTTTCAATCCATGACTGAGAAGTACTTCCATCTTTATTTTCCAGTTTTGACCAGGAGTAACAATCCCACAATCTAAGTGTGTAACCCCCATTTTCACCAACACAGTTCATGTAGAAGGACCCCACATACCATTCTGGATGCCTGTCTGGCAATTCGGTACACGGTCCATCCGTTGGAGACACTTTCAAGCTGCTGCTTAATGACAGCCTTTACTTCTGCTGACAGTGCTTTCTGACTGGCGACAAACATCACAGTGGCCAAACTCACCTAACATTGAGCAAGACATAAGACAACTTTAAAAATCATGCAATTCTATCAACGGCACAGATAACTTTACCTCAAAAGGGAGAAAAACTCAAGACAACCCACCAAAAAAGAAATTTCCTCTCTCATGACATTAATTTTTCACTTTGAAGTTATCAAACAATTTACTCCATTATCCAAACAACTGTTTGTAACAGCAAATAATTCTGATAAATATGGGTAAATTATAAAATCACACAATGAAATACTACACAGCAGTGAAATGAAGTAGAGATATACTTTTCAATACAAACATTTAAATAAAATAGGAAAAAATAAGCAAAGTGCAAAAGATTGCAGGCAGTTTGATAGCATTTATATAAAAGTTAAAATATGCAAAATATTAGTGCATATTACTTCATATATACACTCAGGTAGTAAATGTATAACAACAGGCATGGGAATGATAAATACCAAATTCAGGACAGTGATTATCTCTAGGGGAAGGGAGATGCACAGGTAGGTACAGTTCAACTCTATTGGTAATATTTTTTTTTAAGCTAGGAGACAGATGCAAGGGCTTTCAATGTATTATTCTTTACATTAAAAAATTATGTTTCATAATTTAAAACTGCCTTAAAGTAGCACTAACAAAAAAGGGATAAAGAGCATTAGTTGAAAATGCTGCTTTAAAAAAAAAACAAAAAACACCTTGACTAACTACTTCACGGTGTTCTGAAGTTGATATACACAAAGGTTCACATGTATTGTGGTCATTGTATGACATCATTCCTATGACCAATGCCACCTGGTCCTCAGGGTACCCCTTTCCTGATAGCAAATGATGAATGGGGTAATCTTTTACAGAATACACCCTGGAGAATTAAATATAAAATAGGCTTGATGAGCAAGTAATTTCATTAAGCTTTTCCTAATCCCTAAATTCAGATGACCAGAACAATATGCAGTGGCCAAGTTAAGGCTTACATCTATTTTATGCCAACTTAGAATGTAGCCTACTCTCAGCCTGGTAGAATTTTCAACTAAACATTATTGTATCACTTCTGTGGCTTCTGTTTCTTTAAAAGCATGCACCTTTCCCAACCCCAGGACTATACTGAAACCTAATTGGGTGCTACGCAGCTAAAGAGGTCTTGGATTGGAAAAGAGGAATCTGCTCATTTGTGGTCGCTGTTATCATTAGGTCTTTAACTTAGTATCTTCAGAAGTACAAAACATAGTTTACTTCATTATTTATTTGCTTTGTCTAAAAAAGAAAACATCCATTTTCATTTTGTTCTTTGTAATAGAACAAAAACAACAAACTGAGGGCTTTGGCTACACTAAGGTGATTGACAGGACTTAGGAAAAAAGAAGTTTTAGATTCAAACTAAATGGGGCTTACTCAAAGTGGAAACAGTAAAAAGCTCATGGTTCCAATTCTACTTTTTTTTAAAGATTTTATTTATTTATCTTTAGAGGGGAAAGGAAGGAGAGAGGAAGAGAAATATCAATGTATGGTTGCCTCTCATGTGTCCCCTGCTGGGAACTGGACTGTACCCAGGCATGTGCCCTGACTGGGGATCAAACCGCGGTTGTTTGGTTCGCAGGCCCACACTCAATCCACTGAGCTACACCAGCCAGGGCTCCAATTCTACTTTGACTTCAGCATCCCTTGGTCTTAGATAATTACTTAAACCTGCTGCTTGTTTTGCTTTTAAGTAAAGTCAAACAGTCATGTTAACTTCTTAAAGTAATTCTCATTAGACCGATCCCATTCATCCACAGCAGGTTTACCAGAAGTTCCTGCTGCTTGTCTGTGGCTGATCGCCCGATGACCTTATAGAGCTCCACGAGGTCGCCCAGCATTCCATCGCCCAGCACTGGCAGCTGCATGGCAATGGCAGCCAGGCAGTGGCACATCAGGATCCGGGCGGCATCCTGAGCACTGTGCAACTGAGTCAACAGGGTCTCAACCACAGACTGGCTGAGATGGGGTCTGCCCTTGGCCAGCTTCACCATACAATTCAGAGCAATCTGCACATTGAAAAGAAAACAGACCAGTTACACTTTTAGGGTATTAAGTAAAGCTTTAAAGAAAAGCACTTTGTATAAGTTATTGGAGAAAATTTAGGAAAAGGGTTTTTTTTGTAGGCATAACATTTTTCTTCCTAAGAAACACAAGACATAATGGATCTCATATTAAAACATACAAAGTGTGCTGTGTTTAAAACCAAATAACAAGTCAGAACCGCACATTAACCATTCGCTGCAATCTAGTACTATTCAAAAGTGAAAAATGAGATGACTATCATAAGGAATAATGCTGTAGAGGCAAAATACATGCCAAACGAATGTCACCCTGACATTCACTACTTCCAAGAACTGCTTCCAAAATGTGGTTTGTAACCTTACCTATGCCTTCACCTCCCTATGCTAACAAAAACAGAGACTCCTGGCACTTCATGCACTAACTGTGTATGTGTGCACGTCACTGAGAGTTTCCGTGTAAGAAAGGCACCCTAGGTGACTCTTACGCACAATGAGGTGGGGAAGGGGCTTCTAGTTTCCTCTTATTTCTCAAGTGAAACCAAAAAGCAATTGGCTTTGGAGCTCCTATTTGGGCCAGTAAACAATATCACTAATAACCCAGTTATTAAAACTGGAAGTCCATCGTCTGTCACTGTTACATAGCCAATGACGGCTAATGCTCGTAATCTCCACTTTGATCAAGTCTCTAACACCAACTTCTTTAGCTCCTTTTCATTCTTTCTGCCTCAACAGAAATCCCTCCCTAATTTCAATCTTCTGAATTCATCCCTCACACTAAAACCACGTAGTTATCAGTGTGGTGTTAGGCAGGAAAAATGAGCTATAGAGTCTGAAAGACCCAGAGAAGGTTAGCTTGCTCTTTATTAGCTAGATGTCTCTGAACAAGTGATTTTATCTCTGAGTCTTAATTTCCTCATGAATGTAAGGGCAGGGCAAATTTCACTAAAGATTAAGTGATCTTAGTGTAAAGATAAAGGGACTTCCGCCAAGATGGAGAAGTAGGTGGAGGGTCCACCTCGCCTCTGTGCACAACCAAATCTAAGAACAACTATTTTTAACAGCAGTCACAACCAAGCCACACGGAAAATCGACAATACGGAGTCCAAAGGACAACTAGATACTCGGCTGGACCGGTACGAGGAGCCAGGCCAGCAGCGGAGCAGGTTAGCAAGAAAAAATTCCCGGGGCGGTGCGCGGTTCGCGCAGGGAACCGAGGGCGCGATTGCGAGCGAGCTGGCTGCCGGAGCGCACAAAGAAGGGGCGAGGTGGGTCGCTCAGTCGCGCGCATTTACGTGCGGAGAAGCCAGTGAGAAGGGAAGCCGGCGCAATACCGATCGGATAAACCCCATACGTGCGGAGTGACTGGAAACGCTGGGCTAGCGGAGGGGACCGCCATTGCTCCCTCTCTGACCCCGCCCCCCACACACAGCGTCACAAACCAGCGACCTGGGTCGCCCCGTCCTGGTAAACAACTAAGGCTTCGCTCCGCTCACTTAACAGCGCGAACAGACCAAAAATGGCTCTAGGACAACTCAGAGCCCCAGAACCGATAGATCTAAGCGATGAAGAAATAGCCAGTCTTTCAGATGCACAGTTCAAAACACTGGTTATAAAGATCCTTACAGAACTGGTTGACTTTAGCCACAAATTAGAGAAACATATGGAAGCTAAATTAATTGAAATGAATGGGGATACAAAAGATTCCAATAGTAATGGAAAGAAAATTGGGACTCAAATCAAGGGAGAGAACCAGAAGGAAGAAAAAAATGGTCAAACAGAAAGGAATGAAGAAATAAGAATTCAGAAAAATGAGGAGAAGATTAGGAACCTCCAGGACATCTTTAAACGTTCCAACATCCGAATTATAGGGGTACCAGAAGGGGGAAAGGCACAACCACCAGTTGAAAAATTATTTGAACAAATAATAAAGGAGAATTTCCCCAAGATGGCAAAGGAAATAGACTTCCGAGAAATCCAGGAAGCTCAGAGAGTCCCAAAGAAGTTGGACTCAAGAAGGAACACACCAAGGCACATCATAATTACATTAGCCAAGATTAAAATGAAGGAGAGAATCTTAGAAGCAGCAAGAGCTAAGGGGACAGTCACCTACAAAGGAGTTCCCATCAGACTGTCAGCTGATTTCTCAAAAGAGACCTTACAGGCAAGAAGGGGCTGGAAAGAGGTATTCCAAGTTATGAAATCCAAAGACCTACATCCAAGATTGCTCTATCCAGCAAAACTTTCATTTAGAATGGAAGGACAGATAAAGTGCTTCTCAGATAAGACCAAATTCAAGGAGTTCATCATCACCAAACCCTTATTATATGAAATGTTAAAGGGACTTACCTAAGAAAAAGAAGATAAAAAAGACGAACAGTGAAAGGACAGCAAACTCACAGTTATTAAGAACCACACCTAAAACAAAAGCAAACTAAGAGGATAGCTAGATCAGGAGCAGAACCAGAGAAATGAAGATCTCAGGGAGGGTTAGCAATAGGGGAGTGGGAGGAGGGGAAGGGGGGAGAAGGTACAGAAAATAAGTAGCATAGATAGTAGATAGAAAATACATAGGGGGAGGGTAAGAATAGTAGGGGAAATACAGAATCTAAAGAAATTGAGACACATGTTCATGAACTAAAGGGGGAAATGGTGGGGGAGGGGTATGCAGGGTGGAGGGGAAGGGAGGGGGGAATAGAGCAAATGTAATGGCATAATCAATAAAAAAATTATATTAAAAAATAAATAAATAAATAAATAAATAAATAAAAAATTTCAAGAAAAAAAAAAAAATTATACAAGCCTTTAACAAAGTCTGGCACATAACAAACACATTTAAATAACAACAAAATTACAACAAAGTCTTAGAGCACGTCCCTTACTTTAAAATTTTAGTATCGCCTCACTACCTATAGAATCATATTAATGTTCATTAACATTGTGATATCTTCCATGACTGAGCTGCAAACTACTTTTCCAATCTCCTGTTTATCATCCAGCCACAAGGGCTACTCACCATTCTTCCAACAGAACAGATACATGTTTGCTTTCAAGTTTTTTATAAGTGTTCCCTCTGGTTCAAATGATCTTTCTTCAAACACTGAAATTCTACCCCATCTTTCAAAGCTCAACTCATGTGATATCTACTTGCTCAAGCCTTCCCTAACACCAGTAGTTGGAATTAATCACTCCCAACTCTGTCCTCTTACTAGAAGTGCACTTTTGTTTGTACTTTAGAAACTCACTGCATTTTACTTAGCATCACAGTTCCATATGTAAAGGTCAGTATTGTCCAGATGGGGAGCTCCTTTAATACGGGAACTTTCTTGACCATCTATGTGTGTATAACTGTGGTGCTGCTAGTGTTTTACTGATGTCTACAATTGGAGGACAAATAATTTGGTTTTCTTTAACAAGTTTTTTTTTTTTTTTTTTTTTTTACATATTTTGGTTCCAAAGGGCTTTGGGATGAATCACTTGCCAAACACAGGTTGCCTACTTCTTTTACTGCCTCTTGATTATCAGCTTTTATTTAATGGTACTAATATCTCTACTGTTCATCACCAGAACCACATCATCCTGCCACTGAACATGCTGTGTTCCCTCAAACCATACACTGATGTCTACCTAACAACCTTCCACTACTATTAACCCTCCTTCTCTTCATTATTAATTTTGTACTATCAAATTATATTTCATGTTTTACTCCAAAAAGAGTAGTTTCATTTCACATTTAAAAAAATTTAAATATCTCTAAGATAATTTTTATAATTAAGTAAAAAATTTTACAATTCTTTGCTTAAAAATTAGAGCTTCTGTGAGCTGGAAATTAATACAAACACACATATGTAGAGTTTGGCTGCAGTTATTTCATTGTTTTGTGTGTATGTGTGTATGTGATCTTATCAGTGTTACCTCAGATTATCAACTTCAAAGAGTGCAGGAGCTCTGCTTACTTCATTTTTTTAATATTTTCTAGGACTATTATCATGTATCTACTACACCCTAATAAATACTGTCAACTGATCGTAAAAAAGGACAAAGCTTAGAGTTTGATTGTGTCTATCTGTGGAGCTCCGCTGGTCAAAATGCCAGTGTTGAAAGTGAAGACCAAGGGAAGTGTTCCTTTAAAACAAGAGTTACTAAACTGTTGCTCTTGGGCCAAATCCTGGTCTATTTTTTTGTAAATAAAGAACACACACACACACACACACACACACACACACACACCCCAACACACACACTTTTTTACATAATGCCCAAGTCTTTGTCCTGCAAAGGTAGAACTGAGAGTGTACAGTCTGCAGAACGTAAAATATTTACTATCTGACCCTTTACAGGGAAACCCTCAATTCCTGACTTAGGCAATAAAAACAGGCATTGTATTAAAAAAAGTGATGCTTTCACCTTGAACGTGGCTTGAGCACCAGGACTATCATCTTGACTACAAAGTACCAGAAGGGATTCCAGGCCAAAAACAGCATCTTGCTCCAGTGCCAAAAGGTCTAGAGGAAAAACACTAAGTTTTATAGTGGTTCAGCAGAGAAGATTAAACACACACACACATGGATATACACACACAAGAAAAAACATTATGGAGTTTCAGATATAGAAAACACCTCAATGAGCAAAGCTAACCTTTCTGAAAAAGTATGTCTGACCTTATTTCTGAAATGCAAAAGCTATCTTCAGACTTCTGTACATCTATTACTTATTAAAGGTTACAAAAACATACACATTAAATTAAGAGCTAAAACCACAAAGATTTAAATAAAGCATAACAGAAATACTGTTAGCTGATTACCTGAGGAAAATACTAGGAATAGCAAACCACATAGTGTGTGTTAATCTTTCTTTTTATTTTATTTTATTTAAAGATTTTATTTATTCTGAGAGGGGAAGAAAAGGAGAAAGAGAAGGAGAGAAACATCAATGTTGGAGATACATTGATTGGTTGCCTCTCACATGCCCCCAACCCAGGCATGTACCCCGACTGAAAAGCAAACTGGCAACCTTTTGGTTCATAAGCTGGCACTCAATCCACTGAGCCACACCAGCCAGGGCTGTGTTAATCTTTCTAATCAGACATAAATTATGCAGGCACGCTTTCACCTAGAATGCTGTAATTTTCAGCTTCTAATGAAAGCTGAGGCACTTTTAAGAAGTAATGAGGCCCCTACACATATTAATGTTGTTAAGTCAAACCACGAAGGACAAATCCCTTAGATGTCTCATGCAATAGCAGTTTTTCAGCAATTTTCACTACCTTAGGGCTAAAATTTCTCTAGAGGTTCTAGAAAGTTCTACATATATTAGCTAACTGTATTTAGGTTAATATATGTCAGCTTTGAGAACATACAGCAGTTTTCTATGTCACATAATAGAAAATACTCATTACAATGCCAATAATAAAACAGGTTTAGGGACTTCCGCCAAGATGGAGGCATAGGTGGAAACACTATGCCTTCCCATACAACCAAGTTTAAAAACAACAAAGTTATAGCAACAAAATTGCAGCCAAACCACAGAAAATGGAACTATACGGAAGTCTGACAACAACGAACTTTCAGCCAGACCAGTAAGAGGGGTGAATCCAGCAGCAGAGCGAGGTCGGGCAGGAAAGATCCACCAGACACACCCAGGTGTGCCACCCGGGTGCACAGGCAGCCATGGGCGGATCCCAGGTGTGGCGTAGTAGCAGGTGGACCCACTGAGGGCACAAGGCAGCAGGCTGACTGAAGTCACACATTTGCGTGCAGATAAACTGGTGAAGGAGTGAGCAGTGAGACGGACCTCGTAGGCCCCAGCAGTGGGAAGCAGCATAGGGGACTGCCATTGTCCCGCCGCCACATACAGCATCATAAACCAGCAACCTGGGTGGCCCCACCCTGGTGAACACCCAAGGCTTCGCTCCTCATAGGTAACAGGCACAAACAGATCAAAACATGGCTCAAGAACAACTCAGAGCCCCAGAGCCAATAAATCTAGGTGATGAAGAAATAGCCAAACTTTCAGATGCACAGTTCAAAACACTGGTGATCAGGATGCCCACAAAACTGGGTGATTTTAGTCATTAATTAGAGGAACATATGAAGGCTAAACTAATTGAAATGAAGGGAATTGCACAGGAAACCAAAAGAGATGTTAAGGAAACTGGGACTCAAATCAAGGAAACTGGGACTCAAATCAAGAGACCAGAAGGAAGAAAAAAAGGACCAAACAGAAAAGAATGAAGAAACAAGAATTCAAAAAAATGAGGACAGGCTTAGGAACCTCCGGGACATCTTTAAACATTCCAACATCCGAATTATAGGGGTACCAGAAGGGGAAGAGGAACAGCCACGAGTGGAAAAACTTATTTGAACAAATAATAAAGGAGAACTTCCCCAATCTGGCAAAGGAAATAGACTTCCGGGAAATCCAGGAAGCTCAGAGAGTCCCAAAGAAGTTGGACTCAAGAAGGAACACACCAAGGCACATCATCATTACATCAGCCAAGATTCAAATGAAGGAGAGAATCCTAGAAGCAGCAAGAGATAAGGGGACAGTCACCTACAAAGGAGTTCCCATCAGACTGTCAGCTGTTTTCTCAAAAGAGACCTTCCAGGCAAGAAGGGGCTGGAAAGAAGTATTCCAAGTCATGAAAGACAAGGACCTACATCCAAGATTGCTCTATCCAGCAAAGCTTTCATTTAGAATAGAAGGACAGATAAAGTGCTTCTCAGATAAGATCAAATTCAAGTTCATCATCACCAAGTCCTTATTATATGAAATGTTAAAGAGACTTACCTAAGAAAAAGAAGATAAAAAAGATGAACAGTGAAAGGACAGCAAACTCACAGTTATTAACAACCACACCTAAAACAAAAGCAAACTAAGAGGACAGCTAGATCAGGAGCAAACCATAGAAATGAAGATCACATGGAGGGTTAGCAACAGGGGAATGGGAGAAGAAGAGGGGAGAAGGTACAGAAAATAAGTAGCATAGATGGTAGGTAGAAAATAGGGGGGAGGATAAGAATAGTATGGGAAATACAGAATCTAAAGAACTTGAGACACGTGGTCATAAACTAAAAGGGGGTAATGGTGGGGGAGGGGGTGTGCAGGGTGGAGGGGAATGAAGGGGGGAAATAGAACAACTGTAATGGCATAATCAATAAAATATATTATAAAAACAGGTTTAGGTATTCAAATCAGAATTAATATACAACTTAGAGAAATGTCTTCTGAGTAAAAACAGTAAAAATAGTGTAGGGGCTTGGAAAACAGTATGAAGGCTGGTAGTGAAGGTCAGGCTGTTAATAACAAAATAAGCACCAGGAACAAGCAGTGCTGAAGGCCAGGAGGGATGAGGGACAACTAAGCTTATGATCCTTAATAAAGATCAAAATAAACAGTGAAACAGCTGGAACAATGAAAATGTATTTCCTGTTTTTGAACACCAGCCTGAACTTCTTTCTCCAAGCCTTTTGACAAAAGATGTCAGGAATTCAATAAAATACATGCATTATTTTCCATGCACATCCTTCTTGCACATCAGTTTAATGCTCTACATACCTAGAGATAAATTCTATAAAAATTTAATTCACATTGTTCTATTAATGCTCTTGCCCCTTGATAAAATTATTTGTTAGTTAAACCCCTGATAATTTGAGAATTTCTTTTCCTAAATTTTCCAGGTTTTTGGACAAGTGAACACATGACCTCACACCAAGGGTAACCATAAACGGCTCCTATCCCCAGCACGATGCATGCAGAGATAAAGAATGAGAAGAAATGAGGAATGTCCCATAAAACCTTTCAATCCCACAATCCCAATCCCAAGGTCCTTGTATTTTAAACAATTTTTTAAAGAAGAAAACATGCTTTAAGAACACTGCCGAAGGCAGCAACTATTAGATCAAAGCACACTGGCTAAAAATAGTAAGGGGTTCAAAAACTAAACACACAGAAATCTTCCCAAACTCCAATACAAAAGTTTATACACAGTATCGGTCCTGGTCAAACTTACCTTTTTCCTGACAGGAGACGGTTATATTAGTCAGGACTCTGACTCCATGAGCTGCGATGCCCCTGTTATTGTGGTAACAGCATTCTTGGGCTAATCTGACTAAATCAGAGGATCTGGGTGAAGAACCCACATTTCCTAAACAAGCAGAGAAAAGTAGTGGAGGTTATAATTCATTTATATAGTTCAAAAGCTTTTCAGCTGACCGGTTCATTTTCTCAACTTTCAAGAGAAAACCTCCAATAATAAACTTCAACAAAATTTTCTACCTCTATATGGTTCCTCACCAATATAATATCACCATTTCTCTTTCTCCTGTCAAGGTACTTAGAACAGGTATGTGTCAATAATCGTGTAGCGATTAGAATCTAAAATCAATGTAAGACATTACCACATAAATATTTTAAAAACTGACTAAGGAACGGTGCAGACACCACAACTACAGATTGTATTTTGGGAGTACTAAAGGGAGGTCATTACAGACTTCTTGTCAGACAACACCTTACTTTCAGGAAAGGAATAAAAGGAGAAATAATTTAGGTCTGCTTTTCCCATCTCAGTTGCTGCATTTAGTTATCCCTCCAAAGGTTTACATAAAAATTCATGATTTTAGAGATGGAGTGGATTTGGGGATCATCTGGTTCAACATCTTACTTTTACAGAAGAAGTCAAAGCCCAAAGATTTTAACTATCTTGCCACCAAAGTCATACCCTTGTGCTCTGCACCCAAGTTCTATGCTACAGATTGCAGCAACTTTTTAAATTCACAACTGAAATTCTGTAACTTAAGGTTTATGTTGTGAGTGCTTTGCTTTATAGTAGAGAAGCTCTGTTATAAAATGAGCTTCAAGAAGTATTAGGAGATTAAAGCAGAGACTCTTGGAGAGACCCTTAGCAGAGACTCTTAGCAGAGTCTTTGTCTTCTTTTCCCCTCCTTATCTTTCCATCCTATCAACTTCAAACTTGTCTCTCATACCAAGGGTGACCATATTTTCTCAGGCCAAAGGGATCACATACCACTTATTATAACCGGCATGAACCAAGACTCTCTTAGGCAGTGTGGGACATATGGTAACCTCACTGACTTCTCAAAAGTACTCGTTTAGGTAAAGCTTCAGTATTTTCAAAATAAGCAAAATATTAGAAATACAAAACTATGAGCTCATTTTTTAAAAAAACTATGGAAACTTCCTCCATTCCTTTTCTTGCCCGTGTGATATGGAAAATGCAGACTCATTTATAAATTTACAACCCCCCCCTTCCCTGTCAAGACTCATAATGCAAAACTTGGAGAAAAAAAAAACCCCACAGAAAATCCAAAGAAAAGGCGAAAATCATCCTAAATCCCACAAACCCAGCATGATCTTACTGTCAACTTTCTGTAGTATTTCTTTTCAATTTTCCTATTATGAAAGCCAATACAATTAAAAAATTCATACATAATTAGGATACTGGACAACATCCTGTTTTTAAAATATTTTTGAGCCTTTCTCTATGTTAACTATGTTAGGAATGGAATTATTTTTAAATTTTATTTATTTAGAAATTATTTTCTAAGATAAATTCACATGGTTCAAAAAACAGAAGGTAAAGAGTGAGTGAATGAAATGTCCCCCTCAACCATCTAAAGCTACTAGTTTCTTGTGTATCATTCCAAAGAGTCTATAAATTTGCAAACATACATGCTTTCTTTTTTCTTTTGTACAGTTTTGCATCTTGTTTTATTTCCCTTTAAACATTATATCACAGATTATCCCATGCCATATATTCTTTTAAATAAATTGCACTGGTTTGTATTGCAGTTACGTATCCCAGTTTCTTTAATGAGTTCCCTGTTGACAGGCCTTTTTATGCTACTGCATCCGCTACTGATGGATAATGCCTTGCATTTTCATACAATGATGCTACGAATAACCCTGCACATGTCATCTATCAAATATGTGAACACATTAATAGGGTAAATTCCTAAAAGTGAAATTTCTGGGTGTACAGGTATAATTTTGATGAGTATTTCCAATTGCCTCTGCAGAGGTTTAATCAGGTACACCCCCACTAGCAGTGAATGAGTACTGCTCACCCGGGTCCTTGTCCACACAGTGTGTTATCAGACTTCTGACTGCTCCAATCTCAACAATGGGTAAAGTGTTCCAGCGTTGTTCTGATTTGCATTTTTCTTAGATATATGTGATACCGAACACCTTACATACTTACAAGCCATTTGCTAGTGGAAATTTAAACACTAAATTTAAGTTTCTTTTATAAACTATCCTGGCTTTAGAGAAAAAAAACTAATCAATGAAAATAAACATTTACTGTTATCTATGAAAATAACCTATTTTTGGAAAAATTCTTTACTTTTGTTTCATGTGAACATTACCTAGTCTGGTTATTTGAGCCTTTTGTTTGATTCTATATATAACTTACAAATTAACAATTAATACTCTGCAACTCTTTCAAAGTGTGATGTCAGTCAAGAATATTTATTAACTGCAAGCTAAGAAACTGCGACTGGCTGATTTGTGCAGAAAAAGAATTTACTGAAAGCACATTGAGTATGTGATAGATTGTTGGGAAACTCTGATAATCTCTCCCATCTCTTGTAGGCTTGCCTCATTGCAAGGTAATTTTCTAATTCCTCACTCACATCAAGAGGCGTTTATTTCCCCACCTATCTGGGCTTGGTCATGTGACTTGCCTTGGCCAATAAGACATTAAAAACCACGTGTAAGCAAAAGGCTATAAAAGTGCTTGTGTGTGTGTGTTCATGGTTTGCCTTCTTCTGGCTGCTGCTGGAACTCTGAGAACATGCTATAAGCAAGCCCAAGCTAGCCTCCTGAGAGTCACCTTGAGGAGAACCAAGGTGCCTCAACTGAAAGCTGTCCAACCTCTGCTGAATAGGGCCACCATGGACCCCTGTCTGATCAAGGCTCCAGATGACTGCTGTCTTGTGAGTGAGCCAAAATGAGACCAGCAGAACTGCCCAGCTAAGGCCAGTGAAAATTACTGATTTGCAGAATCAGAGCAAATAAAATGGTCATGGTTTTAAGCCACTACGTTTTGAGGTGATCTATTATGTAGCAATAGATAACTGATACAGAGTACCTCACAGAATTACTGGAAAGGCTGGAAAATCAGCTCGGAAAAAAGGCAAGGCCACAGCCCAAAGCGTCATGGAAACAGTCCAGCGAAGATATTAATGCAACTGTTATTGACATTTTGATGTCACAGCTTACACCACTGGCAAAGGTACAAGACACAGCCAACAACCACTGCTACAGTGTACCGCAAACTGGAGGTTGCTGTGGTCATTGTTTTATCATCAGAAAAGGGATTCTCCTACATCACTCCTCCTTGTTCCTAGCTTGCAATTCAGTCTATGGTATGGAAATGATTTAAGTAAATTCTGGCTACATGTGCACCCCAGGTGGCAGAGAGGCTTGGCAACAGACTATCAGGTCCTTTCAGCCTCCTCTCCAGGACTTAGAGGTCAGGGAATTCCCTTTACCCAGTAAGTTCATAAGCTGTGAAACCATAAAAAGGTTTAATGCACATTATAGTTCTTTAATTAATCCAAATCAAATTAACTGACTACAAAAAAACAATGAAGATTCCATAAAACTTGCATTAAAATAAAACAAAAAAATTTAACTTAAATATTAGGTAAGTAAGCTCTTCACTGGGCATCAACAAAAGCATCCTGAAGTTAATTCATCTTGAATTAGGCAATCAGAAAAGCATTATTGAACTGGGGTAAAGTTTTATTTTAACCATTTTCCAGAGTGATGTGTACCTGAAAGATAGCATGGCATTTGCTTTTAAAATTCACCATCACTTGGCCTTTGAAATGTACTCAAATTTAAAGGGCACTTTAAGCTACAGACATACAAAAGCAAACCAGCTATTTTAAGCACCCTCAAAAATATTGTTGCACCCACATATAATTAGAAAAAGAACAAATATAGAAAAATAATGTCCTTCAGTTAAGATCAAGGATTCAAGATTTTATTACCATAGGCATTAGTCAAGGCATTAAATCATCTGACGAATTGAATCATTAGTCAAATGACTTAATTTTCAAATAAATCATTAGCATATAACAGACTCTAAAGCTGTACAGAGGAAGCAACCTGAAAATCAACATGAATTAAGAGATTAGCACCTCATCCACGTACCATCTCCTTTCCCTGCTTACCTGAAGCTATGCTGAAATAATGTTTGACGGCAATGGTCCCTGAGAGCGTGGAAAGGACAGTCAGCATCCCCAGTTTTAAGCTGTCGTAAGGAGTCTGGAGGGCACATTCACAGAGTACCTCAATACAGAGAGAGAAGAACATGAAACCTAAAGCATCAATATACTTTTAAAGTGTCTACTCATTTTACAGTCTCTAGCTTTTAAAAAATATATGTATTAATGTCTTTTTTCCATGATAAAAAACTAGTCACACTGCCACAGCCAAGAGAGGCCTAAAGAGACATGTTAGCTAAATACAATGCGGTATCCTAGATGGAGTGGCGGGGAGAAACAGGACATGAGGCTAAAACTAAAGTAATCTGAACAAAGTATGAACCTCGGTTAATAGTATTAATGTATTACTATCAGTCAAGTGTCATGAATGTACCATATTAATGTAAAATCAGTAACAGGAGGAACTGGGTATGGGGTATGTATGAATCCTCTGTGCTAGCTTCCCCATTTTTCTGTAAATCTGCACCTATTCTAAAAAATACTTTAAAAAAAGTCATCATGTGTACTACGTAGTCCTTACAAGCAGAACTTCTACCATATTTTGCTTACCTAATAGATATGAATAATAGTTCATATATGTGGATTTTTAAAAATGTTTTATTAATTTTTTTAGAGAGGGGAAGGGAGGGAGAAAGAGGGAAAGAAACATGCGTATGTGAGAGAAACATCCATTGGCTGCCTCTCACATGCACCACCCCACCCCCGCTCACCCCCGCCCCCAACCAGGAACCTGGCCTGCAACCCAGACAAGTGCCCTGACTGGGAATCAAACCAGTGACCTTCCAGTTTGCAGATGGATGCCCAACCCACTGAGCTATACCAGTCCGGGCCATATAAGTATATTTAAAAAAACAGTAGAGTGTGATATTCCATCTAGTTTACACTGAGTGACCTATCTATCCTCTCCCATTTCAGGTCATTTACTCCTCACTAAGGTGGTCTGAAGTATTTCCAAAACAAGATGCCAGGGGTTCTCTCAATGCAGTGAGCTCTAAATACATGCTCCTAATACAGGGCTACCTCATTCTGTACGTGTACTCTCACGACTCTGACAAGACTGCATGTAATATAAATGGTCCAATAACTGCCCTGTTAAACGGAACTAAGTCCAGTTCTCCCACAAAGATTCAGAAAATGAGCAAAGACTAGGGGAAACATTAGAAATAAAATTCCAGAAAGGTTAAATTAAACAACAAATTTTACCCAATTGAAAAAATTTGGGGGAAAGGAGAGGTTAGATAATCTGCTTTTAAAGATTATACAGAAAAAATCCCAAAAGGTTCTGACAAAGTATAAAGAAGGGCCTAAAGAACAAGCCCTACTAAATATTGAAATGTAAAATAAATCCACAGAAATCACAGAAGTCTTTTTCCTACTCACAAATGCAGAAATCAGTGAAAGAGAACTGGTCCCAGAAACATTCAAATACATACTAGAATTTAATGTATGATGAAGGCTTTTCGGATCAAAAGAACCGTTTATTCAATAAACAGTTCCAGAAGAACTGGCCAGTGGTCTTGATTGTTAAACAAAACTAGACCTTTGTTTCTTTTCTGTGGCAAATTAGAAAAAGAAAGAAACTATAAAAATCACAGATATTATACAAATGGCTTTTAAATATAAGATGTCAAACCTCACTCATAATTTGAAAATTTTAAATTAGGAGTTGCTTCACCAGTGAGAATGGCCAAGATTAAGGTTCAATAATGCGCAGCACTGAATGCAGTACGGAAAACAGGCATGGTCACACCCTGGTGATAGAAGGCTAAGATGCTATAAACCTCATGGTGGGTAACTGGCATTAAATCTCAAAATTCTCAATGTGTATGTCATTAGACCACCAAATTCTTTTTTTTACACACCCCCAACCCCCACCTGGCAACTGTTGTCCGTGTCCATGAGTTTTTTCTTTTTGTTCAGTCCCTCCAACCCTCACCCCAGCCGTCAACCTGTTCTCTGTGAGTCTGTCTGTATTTTGCTTGTTAGTTCATTAGATTCCACATATGAGTGAGATCATATGGTATTTGTCTTTCTCTAACTGGCTTGTTTCAGTCAGCATAATGTTCTCCAGGTCCATCCATGCTGTCATAAAGCGTAAGATTTCCATTTGTTTGTTTGTTTGTTTTTTTACAGCCAAGCACTATTCCACTGTGTAAATGTCCCATAGTTGTTTCATCCACTCATCTACTGATGGACACTTGGGCCACTTCCATATCTTGGTGATTATAAATAATGCTGCAGTGAACATAGGGGTGCATATATTCTTTCGAATTATTGTTTCAGGTTTCTTTAGATAAATTCCCAGAAGGGGAATTGCTGAGTCATAAGGCAGTTTCATTTCCAATTTTTTGAGGAAACTCCATACTGCTTTCCACAGTGGCTACACCAGTCTGCATTCCCACCAACAGTGCAAAACGGTTCCCCTGTCTCCATATCCTTACCCACACTTGTTTGTTGATTTATTAATGACAGCCATTCTGACAGGTGTGAGGTGATATCTTATTGTGGTTTCAATTTGCATTTCCCTGATGATTAGTGACGTTGCGCATCTTTTCATGTGTCTTTTGGCCATCTGCATGTCCTAGTTGGAGAAGTGTCTATTCGGGTCCTTTGCCCATTTTTTAATTGGACTGTTTGTTTTCTGGTGTTGAATTTTATAAGTTCTTCAAAAATTTTGGATATTAACCCCTTAATAGATGTATCACTGGCAAATATGTTCTCTCATTCAGTGGGGTTTCTTTTCATTTTGTTGACAGTTTCCTTTGCTACGCAAAACCTTTTTAGTTTGATGTAGTCCCATTTATTTTCTCTTTTATTTCCCTTGCAGGGAAAGATAAATCAGAGAAAACAATACTACAAGAAATATCCGAGATTCTACTGCCTATGTTTTCTTCTACAATTTTTATGGTTTTGAGTCTAACAGTTAAGTCTTTAATCCATTTGAGTTTATTCTTGTGTATGATGTAAGAAGGTCCCAAATTCTTGTTTTAGAAATGTATGTTCATAAAGGTGATTTTTTTATAGACTAGTCAATATAGCAATGTGAACAATAACAGAAGTATTGGAAACTAGTCTAATGTCCTCACAGTGGGAAACTGGGAATGTAAAGGGGGCACCACATAGCTGATAATATAATGCAGCAGAACTACCTGCTTATATGAGAAGTTCCCCTAAGACAGGGGTGTCAAACTCATTTTTACCAGGGGCCACACCAGCCTCGAGGTTGCTTTCAAAGGGCCGAAATAATTTTAGGACTGTATAAATCTAACTACTCCTTAACTGCTAAGGAGTTGAAATTACATTTGGACCTTTGAAGCCAACTATGAGGCTGATGTGGCCCCTGGTGAAAATGAGTTTGATATCCCTGCCCTAAGATGTACTGTTCAGTGATAAAAGATTCAGAACATGCATACTGTATATTTTCATTTGTACAGAAAATAAAAGAGAAATATACATGCTTGCAAATGGATACAAAATTCAGGAAGGATCTAGGAAGGGATGAAACACAGACATATTTCACTCATTGTATACATCGAAACCCTGTGAATTCTTCATAATGTGCATATATACTTTTTCAGTTAAAAGAAAAACTTAGGTAATAACAATAATAGAAGCAGCAGTAAAATTTTATCAAGGAAGAAATGGAAATGAATCTGAAAGATACAGTAGTTTCCTGGTAATGGAAGGAAATGCAGTCTAGGTGATACAAATAAGAACTCTGGCAATTAGGCTGTTGACAATGAGGAATATGGAATGGTCATTGGTGGCCTAAGATGAGGTATGTCCAAAAGGGATGAAGAATAAGAGAGAACGCTGAGTAGGGAAGATCAGCCTAGATTACAGAGGGTCTTGAAAGTTAGGCAGAGATTTAAACCCGATGAGAAAAGAAACAGGAAGCCACTGGAGAGGAATAATGTCATCTGAAGTGCTAGGGAAGATTATTCTGGCAATGGCAAACAGAAGAAGTTAACAAAAGGAGTTGAAAGTTAAGGACCAACCTGTAGTTTATGGCAATAATTCAGGCGGGTGGTAATGGTGGCCTGAACTAGAGCCTGGTGGTAGGAATGGAAAACAGGGAAGGATTATGAGATACATTTGGAAAGAGATTATACAGGGTGGGACAAGAACAGGTTCATGGTTGTTGGTATGGAAAATAATGCAATAATAAGTAACAGTACAAGAGTAAACTCTGTTATGTGAACTCACAACTGTAAACCTACTTTTGCCCCAACCTGTACATGATGGAATGAACAAGACAGATTCCATGATTTTCACAAAATTGCAAACCTGTTGGCCAGACAACATTGAGTCCATTTACAAAGATTAAATATTTATGGGGATAAGCTAATTTCAGAAGGAGGAAAGAAAATAGGAAGACTGGGAAATCTAAGAAGAAATATCCACTCGGCATTTGGAACTGGAGATGGAGATTTTTTCACTGAAAGACTTGCATTTGAATTTTGGCTCTGCTACTCACCATCTCTGTGATCTGAGCCAATTACTGAAACCTTTGTCTCAACTTCTTTGTAAAGTGAAGGTAAAGATTTTCACAGAATTGTTTTCATCTGAAATATCTCTGGGAAAGTATATGAGAAATCAGACATTGGTTGCCACTGGCCAAAGGAGATTAGTGGACAGTAGAACAGTTAATGGGAAACATTTTACTCTATTTCTTTTTGTGGCTTTTGAATTTTGACATGTGAATATACAGGAATTAAAAGAAATGAATTAAAATTTGAAATATAAGTGGGGACCATATCTGTTATCTGTAAGACTAAACAGCTTGAGAGTCAACACACTCTGCAGTCCCTACTAGCTGCTATGCTCGTTCATATCAGCTCAGCTATGGAGATCAGTTCGGAAACTCAGTACAAGAACTAGACTGTAGAAGAATGCACACACTTCTGTTAAGGGAAGCTACCAGAGTGGTAGAAAGGAAATGGGAGAAAGCACCTAGGGCCAAAGACTAAACTCAGGAAAAGGGGCAGTGAACAACACAGAGAAGGTACAGTTTAGAGAATGGAAAGAAGAGTGAGGACAGATAAGGACCAAAGAAACCAAAAG